ATTTGGGGTTTTTCCAGGATTCCTTTTATGGTTGATTTCTAGCTATATAGCTTCATGATCTGTGAAGATACTTGATATCATTTCTATTTCTGTGTCTTTTCTGAGCTTGTTTTATATTCTGGTATATGATCTATTCTTGAAAATGTTCCATGTGCACTGGAGAAGAAAGTGTATTCATTGCTTTTAAGATGGGAACTTTAAATATCCAGGAAGCCTACCTGATCATCTAGTATTTCATTGAAGGCCTTCGTCTTTGTTGATTTTCTGTCTAGATGACCTACCCCTGTGTGTCAGTGGGATGTTGAAGTCTCCCACAGTCATTGTATTTTTGTTGATACATTGTTTTAGGTCGGTTAATAGCTGCTTTCTGTCACTAGGTGCTGCTGTATGTGGCGCATAAATATTAATGAGAGCTCTGTCTTCTTGGTCACTCTATAGCATCTATCTTTGTCTCTGATTGTCCTTTTTATTTTCTTTTTGGCTGAAAGTCTAGTTTGTCAGATATGAGAACAGCAGTTCCTGATTTACTCTTGGCTTTATTAGCACGTATGACGTTTTTCCAGATAATTTAAGCGTTTGCCTTTCAGCTTTAAATGGAGCTCTTGTAAGCAAGTATTCATGCCTGGGATTTGTTCATCCATATTGTTCGCCTATCTGTTCATTGGTGAATTCAGACTGTTCACATTTATGGCGGTTATTGATATAATCCTCAAGTAATACTAAAAGGATATCTTCTACAGGAAAAAAAATGGAAACCCAAACTATCTATTTGATATGAGCTATTGATATGATCTGCTTATTTTCAGTTATTCTGGTTTTGGTTGTTTTATTTTTCTACTGGTTCTTTTCCCTTTGTTTCTCTCTACTCTTTCTGGATGGCTTTCCACTGTAGTTCTATCAGTTTCTTTGCTGCTTTACCTGCAGGTGTCAATTCTGGATTTTTTGTTGTTTTTTCCTGAAGATTCCCATGCTTAGGTCCTTTATGAGCTGGTGTCTGCTCTCTGGCGCTGAGCTGGTTCTACCCTTGAGTTCCTCCCCAAGTACTTGGTGCTGTCGACTCATTGTACTCTTATACTTGGTATTGGTATTATCATTTTGCTGAGGAGTTTGGGTTTCTTTTTTTTTTCCTGTAGAAGTCCTATTACTTAAAGAGCAAGTCTGGTGGTGGCAAACTCCATTAGCTTCTATTTGTCTGAGAAATCCTTTATTATACCTTCATAATAGATAATTTTGCAGGATAGAGAATTGTTGGCTGACAGTTCGTGTCTTTTAGAATTGCAAATATTTCCTACTCTCTCCTTGCCTGGAGAGTGTCTAGACGGAAATCCTAATTTTGGAGCCCTTACAAGCTATTTTTTCCCTTGATTACTGCAAAATATTTTCTTTGATGTTTGACAGTTTTACAATAATGGGTGTTGGTCTGGGTGCAAGTCTTTTTGCATAAAAGGATTTGGGTGTTCTCTCTGGCTACTGGACTCATATAGTCACTCTGTGGGTTTGGGAAGTTCTAATTTTTTTTAATAAGGTATTTACTTTTATTTACCGTCCCCTTTTGGGAGCCTAATCATTCTTGGGTTTCCTCTTCTAATTGAGTCTGTGTTATTTCTCCTTTTCCTCATTTTTCCTTTGTCTTGACATTCTCTCTCCTTCTCAATGTGTAATTTGTTCATGTGAGTTTCCATGGGTGAAATTAATCCTCCTGCCATTTTAATTCTCCTGAAAGCACAGTTTGTCTGCATTTCATCCAGTATTTTGTGATCCTTTAATATAGTCAGTCTCTTTGTTCCCAAATCTCCTGAGGCCTTGCCTCTGCCCTTCTGCCTTTGACCTTCTGGTATCTCATTTAATATTTTTAATACTGTCATCTTGCAATCATTGTCTCAAGTTCTGTCGCCTCTCTGTCCCGGGACTCCTGCCCTTCTCACTTGGCTTTTCCAGCGTGGTTGAGATGTTCCTTGTTTCCTGGGCATGTGTACACCTCATTTACGTGTGGGGATGTGGTTGGGCACGAGGGGCTTATCTTCGCCCTCCTCTTAGTTTACCTGGGAGCAAGGTGGCCACAGGAGGGGAGTCTAGGGCTTGAATACTCGACCTCAGTTTGGGGAGTAACTTGAGTCCCCTCCTCCTCGTTTCACTCCACAGTTAAGCCGCGTTCTGAGCCTGGTGTTTCCCGCCCGCCTCCCTGTTAGTCCTTCCTGGACTTGTGACCTACAAAGCTCAGGCTGCCTAGTGGGAGCCTGGACTTCCAGACTCACACTCTGGGGAGTCTGGCTCAAAGGCTGCACCCTGTTGTGCAGCAGGTGAACATGTGCCCACCTAGCTCTGTGGCCACCACAATGGCCACTGGTGTCCTGCCCTTGCCTTGGCTGCTTTTGTGTGAGGCTGGGACATACCTAGCGCTTGTTTGCCTTCCCGGAAGATTTGTGATTTCACTCTAGCATCCTTTTGTCCGCTTTTAGGCTTTTTCTGGAGTCAGGCCTGGCTCTACCTGGCTGCCTTGATCTCTTCCAGGAGTGGGGAGGGCCAGGGTGTGTTTAGTGGCCACACAATCCCCAATGTGGGATTCCCAGTTTTCTGGGTCAGAATCTGCCAAGCTCCCGTTGCCCTGGGCTGAGCCCAGACCCACTCTTGTGTTGACAGAGTTCCTCAAAGGAATTTCACTAAGTCCAGGGTTTTCCTCAGTATGGCTTGGGAAGCTGACCCCGAGCCCAGACACACTCCTCTCACCTCCTGCTTTCCCTCAGCGGCCACCAGCCCCTAGTTCTCGAATCCCTGAAGTCTTGGGGGCTGTACAGCTGGCGCGCGGCCTCTGGATTTTCCTAGACACATTCAGTCGTTTTTCTAGTTATATTCAAGGGAGAGGGAGATTCTAGCCTCTCTGTTGTGCCAGGTGTGGGTGGGGAGATTGTTTGCATTATGAGCTATGGTTATAGTGTCTCCTTTACTTTGTCTAGACTGGTAAGCCTAGACAAAGGCTTGTCCATTTTGTTTACCTTTTCAAAAAACCAACTCTTCGTTTACTTAATCTCTTCTGTTTTCCTGTTCACTGTCATTATTTCTGCTCTTTATTATTTCCATCCTTCTAACTTTGTATTTTTTTTTTTTTTTTTTTGGTTTTGGTTTTGTCCTAGTTCTTTTTCTTGTCCCTTAAGGAGTAAAATTAGCTTGTTTATTTGGGATTCTTCTTGCATCTTAATGAAATTATTGCTGTGAACGTCCCTTTTGGAGAGCTTTTGTTATTTCTCAAACTGGTATGTCCTGTTTACATTTTTGTTCACCTCAAGATTTTTTTTTTTACCCTTTAATTTCTTGTTTGATCATTGATTGCTGAGAAGAGTGTTAATTTCCATATATGCATATTCTAGTTTTCCTCTTAGAAGTGATTTCGAGTTTAGTAACACTCCAGTCTCCTAGAGGCCCCACAATCCACCACCCGGTAGTTACCAGAGGATCCCAACCCTGAACCTGAGTGTCAGATAGCATTGTTGGAAACATGCCCAGGTCTTGCCTGGTAGCCTCAGAGACCCTGGAAAGGAAGGAATGAGTTGGACCTTCTTCGTGTTAGACCCTACCATAGCCACAGGAGCCCCACAGGGGAAGAGGTCCCGGGCCTTGAGGGCTATGTCCTGCTGTGTCAGAATCGGGCCCCCACCCCTTCCTCAGCAGAGATGCAGCAGGTCTGTGAAAGCACTGACAGCCATCCAGATAAGCTTGCTGGGGGTGGCGTAAGGCACTCCAAAGACGAGGCCTGGGTTGCCACCCAGCAGAGAGACAGGCTTTCGACCCACAGTGGCACCAAGGACTCCACACCCTGTGCAAGTGTGTGTGTGTGCACGCAGGAAGGTGTCGTTTGAAGTAGAATCTCCTCCATTGGCCTGCGACTTCCCAGCTAGAACAGAAGCCCCTGAGGGGAAGGAGGGGATGGTTTGATGGTTTCGGAGTCATTTGAAAATGTCCCTTTCTAAATGTTGGCCCAGAAGGGTTTTACTCACCCAGCTAGAAGCCACGCCCTCCCTGAGACCCGGCTGAAGGTTGGGTCTCGGGACTGTTCTAGGAGCCAAGGTGGACTGCAGGTGCTGATGGGGGAGTGACGCCCACAGAACCGCACGTTCAGAGACACGTGAGTCCGGGCTTAAGGCCCAGGTGGCCCTGAGCTGCAGTCCCATAACCTCTGAGCCTACATCCCCGCATCCATAAAGTGAGAATACCAACCTCATATGCTGCAAGGCGCTTACGAGATACGCCTCACCTTACACTGAGGGTATCTGACAAGTGTTAGCTGGCTCCCCCCCCAGCATCTCGGACGCTGGGTGGCAGAAGCCTGTGTTAGTTTGCACATTTTGTCTCTCGTGCAGGCAAATCCATGAAACATGCCGTCTCAGGTGCTTCTCTAAAAGTTTTGTTGCTACAAATCCCAAACTGTTTGTAGGCTGCTCACAGCACTGGAGCAGAAAAAAGAAAACCCCACCAAATTTTGCCAGCTTAGGCCTTCAGATTCTTAGCTTTCATTTGTCTGCAGGAATGGGGGAGACAGCTGGTAGGTGGCAGAGAGCGCGACTCAAGACAGCACCTCCCTAGAGCTGTCAGGGCGGACAGGAGGCGCTGGACAGACGGCTGTGAGGGCTCTGCCCGTGCGCGGGGCTCAGCTGCTCTCCAGGCGCTGCATGGTCTCAGTGTCCTGGTCTTGTCACCCATGGGAAGGGATCTGGATTTACTGTATTGACTAGATACCAAGGTGTGCCATGAATATTAACCTTCTTCCTGTTCCCCCATTTTCAAATGCAGATGTCGACAGTCCCGCACTACCACAAACTGTGCAGGTGAGGTTCTGCGTGGGGAAATCACTGGGGCCAGAGCATGGGGTACAGCGGCTGAGCCTCACTCTGGAGAATCGGCATGTGATCAGAGGATCGCCCTGCCAGGTAAGGCCTGCTCCCACTCTGAGACGAAGGAGGCAAAGGTCTTCAAAGAGGACACACAGTCACAGCACCACCTTGTAGAAAATGGACGCGCAGAGGTTTAATTGATGTAAAAAACACAGGATTGTCACCAGAGTTATTGGGAACACACAAGCTGGTCCCAAAACCCACAGAAGGCCCCAGATAACAAAATCGACTTTCTGTGTGGCAGTAGGCTAATGCATAAAAAGTTTTGGGGCGGGCGAGTGTGAAAAAGCTAACCGGGTCTTAATTTCGTATTCTGTAACAAAGCAGTAGAACAGAGTTTCGGGAGGCAAGGGCAACCCCTAGCTTTCAAGAGAAACGGAAGCGTTTTATCAACAGTGAGCCCGATGTCAGCACCTCCCCTGAGAGGCCCAAGGGAAAGGGGCGCTGCAGCACGAGGTCCCTCGCTGCCAACAAAGATGGCACTAGCCTCTCACCCCCTTCAGAGCAGGCGGTGTGTTCCAGGAAGGGGCGGCATCGCTGGAAGCCAGGCCAAGGAGTACAGCCGCAGCGTCCTGGAGGGAACCCGGAACAGGGCCAGAAGTCACCCCCTTTCCCCATGGTTGCTGGCTTCTGGGAAGTTGTATGCTTGAGACCTGAGAATCTAGCTGGGACTGCTCTGGGGAGGAGCCCCAGGAAAGGAAGGGCTCCTGAGGACGGCCTGGCCAGCTGTGCCCAATCCTGAGCTAGTTGGAAGGGGACAGGAGTGTCAGGAGGGGTACATAACAGGAAAAGGAACACAGATCTGATCCCTGGGAGGCTGAGAGCGGAGCCTGGCCAGCCGAGGGTAGAGACAGGTGAGGAGGCTTGAAGGCCCAGAATCTTAGTGGGAGCGCCATGCAGTGCCCTGTGGGTCCCAAGGCAACACCTGACTGCATCCCTTTGCTCTACAGGTCCCACGTCAGTGTGGCCGCATCCAGGCGGAGGTCCGCGGGGGCTGCGCGATACCAGCCTTCGCGCCTGCCCCGTCCACGGCCCCTCCAAGTTCTAGGCGGAGCGGACAGCGCAGCAGGACAGGAGAACGCTGGGTAGCGCCTCAGGCACTTGGTGCAAGGTCCACCCCACCGGCCTCAGAAGCGATACACCTTCAGTCTGTTGTGCTGATCCAGACCCAGCTGCAGCAGCCCAGAAGTGCCCATGGGTGCCGAAGACAGATGTCTGACCACAAGGTGAAGGAAAACCCTGGGCCAGGGAAGAGCCAAATGGGGTCTCTCCGCCCCCCCCCCCAAGATAAACACCCACCACACCGCAGCTACAGCAAGAAAGGGCAGAGCTCTGGGACTCGGCGGGAAGGATACGACTTGGGGCCCTTCCTGTAATGCTCTAGCCACTTCCGGTTTGCCTCCATCATGCTCTGGAAGTCGGTGCTGCCTAGGTCAGGAACTTTGGGGCGCTGTAAGAGGCGAAGCTGCTCACTGGGAAGGGGAGGACAGGTTGCGGTGAGGAGGCGGCTGGTGTGATGGGCCTCACACCCAGCGCCTCCCTCGCCCTCTGTAGTCAGAAAGTCAAAACTTCCCAGAAACAGCCCCTGTGGACCAGTTCCCAAAAGGGAAGGTGGTGGGGTGCCCTCTGCCCACTTCCTGGGTGAAAGCGCCTGACTTAAGTTCCAGGCTCCCAAGTCCCAGCCCATTTCATCAGCAGAGGTAGGGGTGGGGGAGGCTGTTACAGGGGATACATTTGGGCAAGGACTAAGATGAATGAGAAATTAATATTAGGTTTGAATAACTGCCCATCTGTCTCTCCCCCAGAGCACCCCTGCACTCCAGATGTTGCTCAGCAGGACTGGGGGAAAGGAGTTTTATGAAGTAGACAAAGAACTCAATGGAAAAGGCCGCAGTCCAGGAGAGGGGCCGGGTCCGAGAAAGCAGCTTCCACCTGGAGCCTGGTCAGGTAAGCCCCCCACCCCAGGACCTTTTTCTGGTTGAGGGGCATCTGCCCATGCATTTGGGGCTCCCGACTGGGAGTTCTGCAACCCTCAAAGGCCCCAGCTGAAAGCCACGGGGAGACTTACCTGGCAGACACATAGCCCAGCCTGTTCTCCAGGGGCGCAAGGCCGGTGCTGAGGAATGGGACTCCATCTGCAAAGGTGGGGGGAGACGGCTTAGAAATGGCAGCCTTTCAGCTGACCCAGACCTGGCCCACGCAGACCAGCTGGGCCCCAGAAACTGCAAAGGCAGAACTTCCTAAAACAGGGAACATTTCAGTGGCTGCAGGTTGGAGACAGGTGTTAACTTCAGTATGGCTCAGCCCAGGGAGAATACAACTTTTTCCCTCAGATAACTCAGCTGGGTTAGGAGACAGGGACGTCACTTGGCTACGTTCTTTCATACAAAACCCTGGAGTCACAGGGACATGGAGTTTTCACTTAATATAGGGCCTCACTATCCCCAGCTAACAGGATGGATAAATACCAGGAAGGTTATTAGAACTAAAGCTGAATATAAAGTGCCAGCTCCTGTCATAATGATGGCATCAACCTTTCAGGTTCTGCTAAGCCCGGAAATCCATCGTAGACCCCCGTCTGCCCCAAGTCCCTGTAACCCCTGGTGACCCGCAGAGCCTCCAGCCAGAGACAGCCCGCACGCTCTTCCCGGAGGGGCTTACTGGGAAAATACTTGTGCCACTTCTCCGCCAGGTAGTCATCCACAGTTTGCGCCGCGGCAGAGGAAGGGAGCCTGGGGCCCGGCGCTAGGTCCCAGGCCCATTGGGACGGGGTGGGGGGGGGATAGGCGGGAATGGGGGTGCTCCTGGAGGGCTGGTGCGGGACCTGCACGCCCGTGGAGCCGAAGCACGGCAGCTGCGGGGCGGGGCTGCCCAGCATGCTGAGGACGCCATTGAGCTGGCTGCTGATCCGCTGCAAAGAGCTGCTCAGATAGTGGATGCTGCTGGGGCAGGAGAAACTGGGGCTTGCGGTGACTGCAAGGGAAGAGCCGGAGGGTAAGGCAGGCCCCCAGGCCCAGCCACCCCCCACTCCTCCTGCCTCTGCCAGGGGCACAGAAGACAGCGGGCCGGTGCGCAGACAGGAGCCGGCGGAGAGGCTTTCCGGGGGAGGGCCCTGTGCAGGCCCCAGCGGCTAGTGGGGACGCCTCTTCCACGGAGAAGCACTCTGCTCACTCACACAGCCCTGCGTGGGGCAGAGCAGCTGGGTTCACCTCTTCCCCAGCACCTCCCCTTCTCTCCAGGGACACTTCCAGTCTCCCCCACTCACCCTGAGGCAGTAGGGAGGAATCAGAACTTTCACTGGAGTCTTCCAGGTTGCTGAGGTCAAAGGTCACCGCCTTCTTGGTGGGGGTTCCTCCCAGTGTGTCCTCATCTGAAACCTGAAAGACAGCAGCAGTTACTTCTGGCACTCATACTGACCTTGTGATGGTAGGTGGGCTCTTCAGGGTCCAAAGTTCCATAAGCACCTGGGAGAAACATCATGCAAGCTGCCTTGGGGTAGAAAAGGGGAGACTAGGAGAACGCGGGCCACAGGTGCCCTCTTTCTCCCCTCAAACTCTTCCTGCAGTGTTGACCACACCCGCACCTCAGGAGTTCACTGGACACTGAGATGCTCTGGACACGCCTCTCCTGAGGGGCCGGGGCTTATCCCCTGGCAGAACCTTCAGCGAGCTCAGGACTGCAGCACAGAGCTTCAAACCACAGATGTGTCCACACAGTTAAAGCTTCTGCCTCTTTTACCAGTCCAGAAGCCCTATGCCTACTGCCAGCCCCAGTCCCCAGCTCGATCCCGGGGGGGGCCACGGGGCTGCACCTCCTCCTGGAGAGAGGACTCCAGCTGACTGAGCTTCTCTTTCTTCTTCAGCAGGTCCTGACCTTTCTGCACGGCCGACTTCATCTCAGGCAGGTGCCCGGCCTCCTGCAGCCCGGGAGAAGAAAGGGGGTGACTAACCACAAGGATGCCAGAGCCCAGCTCTGACACTGGGTTGTCCTGAAAAGTCCACTCTCAGTCTGGGTTCTCATCTAATCAAGAAACGCCGAGCTGGACCTCAAATACTCATATTGTTACCACCCGTGTCATCGAGATGGGGGTGCAGCAGGACTGGCCCCGAGCACTGTCAGAACTGAAGACACCAGGTGGACCTTGAAACGGCACAAAGACCCATGACCCCAGGTAACACTATGGATCTGTACTTTCACTATAACCTGGGTATCAGATGTAACCCAGCCTGAGTTATGGGCGCAAACCCCAAGGTTGCTGAATTGTGGAGAGATGTTTGCAGCCAGTGCTGGGCCTCCTTAAAGTTTTAAAACACCTCGCTGGCTACTCAGCTCCTGTCAACATAAGGTGCTTCATCCTCACAGCTGGATAAGCCACATCACCTGTGTAGTCTCCACAGAAGACTTATCCAATGCCCAGAACCCACATGACCACTGAGGCCGAGTTTTGCCCCGGCTTCCCCAGCTCCTCACCGCAAAGTCCTGGCGCATGTCTTCCACAGCCTTGGCACCTGCTACGTGGCCGTCCGCCTCCTGAGCAATGGGCAGCTCCGGCTGCCACTGATGGGTGACCTTCAGCGCCACCTGTTGCCTCCGTAGGGAGGGGGTCTGCTGCACCAGGAAATCCTTGACGGTGTGGACCATGGCCCCACTGTCAGGTAAGTACTCTCGGATGCTGGGAGGAGAAGCCAGTGAAGGAGGACAGAACCCCGGTTCCGGGCCGGCCAGCCCCTCCCGGGGCAGGTGCCTGTCCGCCACCGTGAAGTCCCTCGTGTCCTGTGCTGTTGCACCAAGTCTGCCCACACGCCCTCGCGGGTATCACCCCGACCCTCAACACCGTGGGCTGGCTACCTGTCATAGTGGGCATTCCTGGGCTCCCAAGGTAGAGTCCTCAGTCCCCCAGGAAGCCTGTCCCTAGACCAACCGGTGACAGCTATTGGAACTCACCCCTTTAAGGACGTGTTGGTGTCCTTCTTGGTCTGGGCCTAAGGACATGGTAGAAAAGACCACTGAATGCGACAGAAGCAGGTAACTGTAGGCTCAAGGGATGTGCAGCCCTCCCAGGGGTGTTCAGACAAGCATCCCTGATGGACACCGGGCCTAGGCCCAGGAGGGGATGGCCCGAGACAGGACAGGGGCCCTCCAGGTGTGGAGACACTCACTGTCCCAAGGGATTCCCTCAGGTCCTCAACGCGGAGACCAGGCTCCAGATGCGAGGTAGAGTTACTGGCCTCGACTGCCAGCTCCTTCAGGGTGTCCTGAGTCCTCTTAGCTGCAGCCTCCAGGTTGCTAAAGTGAGAAAGGAGGCAGGGCCAAGTGATGAAGCAAACCGGTTTCTGTGGCCTCCAGCCCCAGCCTTAGGGGGAGAGCAGGACCATCTCCACCCCTTCACTCCCATCAACATCCCCGAGACAGGGCTGGGTATGAAGGGTCAAACGAGGGACAAGCAGCTTCAACCCACCCCCCACTCACCCCCCACCAATATCATGCAACAGTCAGCCATGATCAGACTCATGCACAGCAGAGGTCAAAGGGCAGGGCAGGGGCAGTAGGGTGCTAAGCACAGGTGCCCACACACCTGATATGCTTCTGCAGCCTCTGACTCTGGGCCTCCAGCAGATCCACCTGGGTCTCCAACTCAAACTTGCGGGCCTGGAGCTCCTCCAGAATGCTTCGGAGCTGCCGGTTTGACTCCAGGAGGTGACTGTGCTCCTTCTTGGCCTCCTCCAGATGGTGCTGAGTGGCGGTGGCTTCCTGGGGGGGAAAGGCATGGAAGAAAAGACAGAATCACTTGGAGACAAGATGGTTTGGGACCCCCAAAGCCCTAGAGAGGTCACGTGAACAAAGGTGGCGCTCGGAGGCCAGGAGGCATGGCACACAGACCTCACTCTCCTGCGCCACCCGCCTCCGCACATGGAGGAGCTGCTGCTGCTTCCAGGCGGTCTCCTCCTGCAGGACGGGCGAAGAAGGGCCCTGAGCCAGCTCCCCGGCTGCTGGGCCGCAAGGCCTACCCTGTCCCGGGGCAGCTGCAGATCCTGTCCCCCTCACCTGGATGTCCAGCTGACATAATTTGGCCGTGACATCTTTGGTTCTCATTTCAAGTTCCACTTCTAAATCTTGGAATTTCCTTTCCTGCCCAGAAGTGTAGGTGGAGAAAAAGATGTTAAGAAGATGTTAAGTGTAGAAAGGTCATTACCTGAGAAAGCTCCTGCTCTGAGACCATACCAGGTCTCAGAGCTGGTTCAGGCTTCCTCCCTCTGTGGCAACCCTGGAAATCACCAGATCCTGCTGATTTCCACTGGATGCAAGGAAAAGCAAAGGTCCCACCCCCAGCACCACAGCAGGGCTGACCCTTCCTTCTAGACTGGGGGTGTTTGCTATTCCAAAAACACAGCAGTGAAGGTGCCCCAGCTTGCAGAAGGCTCCTGAGTCTCCCTCTCCCAAAGCCATCAGGCTCCATCTGGATGCTGCCACAGGTATCTGGGAGGGCCCCAGGTGACAGCCCCCACCTGCTCCCGGTGCCGCCGCCGCAAGTCTTCCAGCTGTCTGTCCTGCTCCTGCCTCAGGGTCTCCAGTTCCTGTTCATGGGCCCTGCGCAGGCGCTCCAGCTCTCCAGTCAGATGCCCCAGGAGTTCAGTGCGCTGCTTCCTCTCCTGGAAGGGGAAGTGGGGTGTAGGAGGGGTGCCCTCGCAGGAAGCTACAACACCCCCACCTCTGCAGCGCGGGTCAATAAGCTGAAAGGCTATCGCAGTCCTACTGCCCCCAAAGCCTACGCCCCCTCCCCTCTGTCCCAGAGGCAGACACTGGCCTAACGCCAGGAGGAGCTGCTCTCCTTCCTCGAGGGAGAAGTTATTAATAAAGTGTCACTACTCTTCAGCATGGCCAGAATGGGTGAGGGAAGGGAGTCGACATTTCATCATGGGAAAAATGGTGCCGAGTCTGAGATGCAGAGGCTGTAGGCTCAAGTCAGCCAGCACCCTGCTGTTATCCCCTGACCCGGCAAGTGAAGCTGCCATGGGTCACTGAGGGCACTGGAAGAGGCTGGGGTGGGCACGTGGAGTCTTGACACTATCTGGCTCTTGCCACTCTGTTCCTTGGTGTCCAGCAACTTCCATTAAATTAACCCTGGTGGCAGGCGGTGATAGGGTAGAATGAAAGGCTTTGGAGCCTGAGGTGCGTGAGGGAGCAGCTTACACGTGCCAAGAATAGGTTTCCTATTTTGAAGAGGTGGACACCACAGAGTGCTGTGAGGAGGGAGTGAGTGCAGGCAGGGGTGCTGGGCCTGGTGCACAGCACAGGCTCAGTGTGTGTGGGCCGCTGTTACCGTGACAGGAAGCTGCGGCCTGCCTGGTGGAGGGACAGTGCCTCTCCTCATCCACTACCTTAGTGAAAAGGCAGAGACAGACTTCACATTGCAGAGGGCCGGGCAATAACACCACCCACAACCCTGACCAGTTTTTCGCCTCCCCCTGCCCTCCAGGAGAAAGGGAGCTAATGAGCGAGTGTAGGATGCGGGAGCCAAGTTACCTCAGCTTCATACTGCTCTCGAGCCTCAGTCACCACCAGCTGGTGTTCCGCCTTCATCTTGGCCATCTTCCTCTCATGCTCCCTTTCCACCTCCTGGCGTTTTTCTCTCAGGAGGCCGCTGAGCTGCAGGATGGGTGGCAGGGGGCAGTGTGGGGGACCCAAAGTGGGTGGGAGAAGTGGAACTGGTCGCACTCATGCTGTACACACAGACCTCCCCTGCACGCAGCACCCACACCCCCCAATACATCCATAGAGGGAAGTGAGGCATGACATATGGGCCCTGAAGCTCCAACCCCAGTTGAGCCAGCTGAAGCGAAGTGGAGGACCCGTGGCATGGTGGCCCAGCTGAGCCAGAGCAGGGGTGGCCCAGACGCACCTCTCGCTCGTACTCCATCACTTGGTGGACTTTCTGGTGTGCTCTATGCTCCGCCCACCCTAGGTTCACATGCAGCTGGGCCGCCTCTTTTTGCTGCACTTCCTCGATCTTCTTCTGGAGGCCACAGACCACCTGCGGAGGCCCGACACAAGCAAGCATGATGCTCAGAGCACTGCAGCGCGATCATAAGGGTTGCTTCCCAGCCCCTGCGCCTGTGGGAAAGGAAGGCCCCCCAGCAGCAGGTCCAGCTCTGTGCCCGCAGACCGGCTCGCACACAGGCCAGGGCGGTTGCAGCTCACCTCTCTGTGCTTGGCCTCCAAGGAGGAAGACAGCCGCTCCAGCTCGGCTTGGTGCTCTCTCTTCAGCGCTGCCACTGTCTAGAGGGCAACAGGGGCCGTGTGAGGGGATGGGGCAGGGAAGGCACCTACCCCGGGGGAGGGAAGAGCCAGGGAAACCACCTCTCATCCCCCTGGAGCTAAGGGGGCCAAGGGAAACCACAGGTTCAGCTTCGTCTCAAAATAACTCAGTCCCTAAAGTCTGCAGATGGAGAGAGACAGGAAGGCCGGAGTGGCCTGGAAGCAGCTACCCCCCCACTCTCCCCGGCCAAACCGCAGGCAGGCAGGCAACGAGTGAGCCTGTGCACAGGGCCCAAGCAGGAGCACTAGGGGCTTTAACACGAGCTTCCTGGGGTCCACGAAGCTTCCCCCCATCTCGCTGCAGCTTCTCCTTGTCCAAGAGCTGAAGCACCATGCTTCATCAAAAGAAAGCAGTTTCACATGGCCTAAAGACAACCTCAGCCTCTTACTGAGTTAAGACCATGGCTTGTGAGAACAAGGGGTGAAGACAGAAGGAGAGAGTCGCTCTAACTGTGCCAACCTCTCGTTCCCATACAAGAGAGAGTTCAGCGTGGCTGCCCCACTGGGCCAGGGCACCCCTTACATCAGGACCCCGGTCTGGTTTCAGGTTTTCAGTCATGAAAACCTTCCCAAATCCACAGGCATTTACCCACAAACCTTCCCCACCACTGACAATCCCAGCTCCTGCTGTTCTCACCAAACCCGGGCTGGATCTGCCTGAGACAACCGGGTCCAAACGGAGTAACAGGCCCACCGTCTCCCGCACCCGCCCGTGTGGACACCCTCTGTCCACCTGGGTCCCCATCCTGCAGGCCCAGGGCTGGCCCTTCCTCTTCCTTCACACTCAGTGCCACCCCAGGCAGCCCAGAGACAGATGAGAGAGGGACCCCACTCCACGTGCTCACTTCTTTCCTCTCCCCTTCCAGCTGCTCCCTCAGCTGCTGCAAAGCCTTCTCCTTCTCAGCATTCAGGGCAGTCTGTTCATTCTTCTCCGAAGTGGCCACATCTTCCTTGAGCTGCTCTAGCATCTGCCTGTTTTCTTGTTCCAAGCTGACCCTCTCAGCCTTCTGTAGAATTTCCAGCTCTTCTCTCAGCCTCTGCAGAGAAGCCTCTTGCTCAGCCCTGGGCAGACAGAAAGGGCACTCAGCTCTATGCACTCGGGGCACTTCGGCAGGCCTGGGCAGCTTGCGGTGGGCACTCACCTGACGCGGCCTTCGCTGGCGTCCATGCGGGACTGGCCGTGGGCCCGGAGCCAGGAGAGCCTCTGGCTCTCCTTCTCTCCCGCCCGTGTCTCCTCTGTCTTGGAGACTTTCTGCAGCTGCTCCTTCACGGAACTAGGTGGTGGTGGCAAGTCTGATTAGAGGGACCACACGGTCCTCTGCCTTCTACCCATAATCCCTGGCTCTCGCCTCCAATAGCCCACAGCCTGCCTGAGAAGCTTCCAAAATTTAAAGACAAGTCTAAACTCAGCCTCTAGGTCCTGCTGCCTTCCTGGGTAAAGAGGGGACCGTGACCACCACCTGCCCTTTATCACAGGAAGCAAGTTACAGACAGCTTGATCCCAGAACAGCGTTTCTTCCAAAGGCCACCTTCTGCCTACAGGGTTGCCTGGACGCGGCGTCCACTCAAGTCAGATGGTCTGACCCACCTGACTGGTTCCAAATTCTTTCACGTTCCCCCCCCCCCCCAACAGCTTCTGTTCTAGCTGCATCGGGTGAGCCTGGTCCAAATCCCACCACACTCTTCCTGAGCTTGCCTCTTGCCCTTGCTGGGTCCCCTGCCTAGAACTCCCTTTTCTACCCACCAAAACCCACATCCGCTTTTCAACAGCAGCTCCCTCCTCTCAGAGGTGTCTTCCTGACTCCATCTGTCTTCCTGTCCCCATCACACTACATGGGGACTCTTGCCTCGTCATTAATCCTTCTCAGAGAAAGAACCTTGTCTTAAGATCTGTTTCACCTTCGGTGCTAGAGACAGTAACTAACATGCAACAGAGGCGTAAGTGTTTGCCGAATTTAAACAGGCACCCCCCAGTGCAAGTGTGCTCGTTGGTGAGGACATCATATTTACACCTACAGCGGCAACCATTTCATACCAAAGGGCCCTGTTTGCGCACACCATCTCCTCACACAGTCCCACACGACCAGGATCTGTGCGCTCAGGAACGCAAGCCTAATACAACATGATTCAGATGACAATTTCTTGGAACAGCTTCTCTAGTGAATACCAAATCAAAAAAAAAGACAGGATCATTTGCTGTATCAAGTTATCAGCACCACCACGCTCCTCCATGATGACGAAAATGTGAGATCAGCACAAATCCTTCCTTCTAGACTCTCCCTAAACACTTTCTCTTTGGCCTATGGCTGAATTTCACACCAGTACCACCGAATGCCAGCACTGAAGGGACTTCAGGAACGGATGTGCCCTGCGTTTTGCAGCCCGCTCTCCATCTCAGGACGATGCTCAGTCCCTTCACCATGCAACTAAAGGAACTCAGCCTGCCTCTCTTCTGGCCTGCCTTCTCACTCAAAAATAGATGCTAAAAGGTCAGCACTGGCTTCCAGAAATTTCTACCACGTGGAAGTTTCCCAGCAGAGAAGAGGAGGCCCCACGCCTCACAAGGGCGCCTGTATGAACAGAAATAGCATTTTCATGATGTGCTTTCTTGGAGAGAGGCAGACACCAGCCAGAGTGGTCACTCAGGACTGCTGAAGCTCCCCTGAATTCTGCTGCGCACAAAAACAAGAGCTACCATTTACTGAACTAATATGTGGTCTTGAATGAGATACGTTGGTATGGGGCTCACCTTCAACCTAAGAGGGTCATTGGAAGGTCTCTGGAGGTAGGTGGGCTGGAGGAAAGGATGGTGCACAGCCAGCCAAGCCCAGGGGCCGGCAGGGACAGGCCGGCGGGGCTGGCATGAAATACCGCCAGGAGCTTCTCCTCAGCACCGCTCCACCTGAGCGGATTCACACCTGTTGGGTGGGCCCTGTCCCAAGTTCCATTTGGCTGGAAGAGGAGGATGTGGTAGGGAGATCTGCTTGTGGCATCCTCCTGGCAGGGATCCAGAAAGAATGATAGGCGGATAGACTCCAGGTCAGTGGACACTGCCCGGGCTAATGAGAGAGCCCGCTCCCCCCCACCTCCGGACAGTTGGGTGTTGGTTTTGTTTCCTTTCATCTACATTAAGTATAAATATTTTATACACTCTTTGTTTGCTATACACGGTAATTTTCTACCACTCTTGGGTATTCCTTCCAAGAGGATAAAATTTAGTTAAATGGTCAAGCAAGTCCAATACATTAAATACCTTTCTGTAAACCCCTTTACCACCCCAGGATGGTGGCAAGGGTGCTTATTACCTCCTCAACCTCCAGTCTCCTTATTAAAAGCTCCCGGATTTCATTCTATCAGGCAGAGGCACAAGTACAGACTACACTTCCCAGTCTCCTTTACAACTGCAGGTACTAATGACACAGAAGCAGAAGCCATGAGGCCAGGGCCCTTGGCAAGTTCCCTCAAAGGGACAAAATGAGCTAGAAGGGCCCCTTCTGCACTCCATGCCTATTCCTCCTGGAGCACAGACACGATGGTTGGAGACCCGGCAGCCACAGTGGACACTGAAGAGATACTGCGAGCAAACACCACTCTGAAGAGGGCAGAGATCAAAGGCCCTGGGCCGGGGACGCTGCAGTCACTGTGCCAGCCTGGCCTGCCTTTCCTTACGCAAGCCTCTCGCTGGCTGACACATACATATGCACACTCACTCACACCACAGGCTTTGCCCAGGCTCACGTGTCTTATCTGGGTTCTCCATCAGTTCAAGACAGCGCCTAGGTAAGAGCCCCTGACACGCAGGCCCTAGCAACCTCACTAGCCCCCACAGCGCTGACTCCGAGAGTGGCAGATGTCATAGGGAAGAGATGAGCTGCCTGGCTTGGTGTAGGCTCTGCTGCTTATTAGCTCCACACCTCAGACAAGTTATTTAACCTTTCTGGGGCTCAGCTTCTCATCTATATCAGACTCTATAAAATAGGACTGATAACTCCTCTTAAGAGCAGTTCTGAGAACGAATCAAATAGATATATAAACTACATGGATCAATGGAATCTCTCAAAAAAACACCAGCTACTTCCATTATTATCACATCTCCCAACTCCCTTCCCTCCCAAGAGGGAGCCTTGGCCAGGGGCTCCATTTGCACAGGCCACCAAGGCATGGTCTTGGCAGGACCATGGGCCTCCAAAGCAGGGAGTGGGCAGCTTGCTCCCAGGCCAAGGAGAGGCCCAGCAGCCTGTCTCAGGGGAAGACACTACCTGAGAGACTGTTTCTGCTGGCGGAGCTGGGGTAGCTCCTCCTCCTCCTCCTCCTGCCACAGCCTCTCCCGCAGTGGCTGCATCACCTCCTGCTTTGACTCCAGGAGCCTCCGGTCTTGCTCGAGTTCTTGAGTGGCTGAGGCTTCCATGGTCTGTAGGGTGGCCTCCGAGAGCTGCTTCTGGGGAGCTGCAGGCTCTGAAGGTCGCCTATGGAGGGTAGAAAATAGCATTTCCCTACTTTTGATGCCCACCCACCTTCTGGTATCAGGGTTAGACAGCAGAACAGCACCTGCGGTACCCTGTTGGGGGCCATGATTGGCAGTCACACGTGCAGACTGAGTCACCCAAGGGTGGGGGGTGGGCTGCCCCTCTTGAAGACACAGGCAGCACCTGCTGTCTAGGAAAAGCCCCTCTGTGGCTAGGAAGGCCTCAAGGACCCAAGAGAAGGGCAGCCCAAGGCAGGCACTTGGGGGACCTGGAAATCTGGGGGCCGAGGTGAGAGCCTGAAGCTGTGGCTCAAGAACGGGGAGAATGAAGCTATCTCCAGTGGGTTCCTCTCCCAGGGGCTCATAGTCCTGTTTCAAGTCCCCCAGGACCCTCCTGTCAGAGGAGCTTTCCGTGCCCTGAGCTGAGAAAAGGCCAGTGCCTCTGAGTCAGTGGGAGAAGCAGCACGTGCCCTGACACCGAGACCTGGAATAGTCCATGAGACCAGGAGCCAGGCAGGAGACCCCCCGCCCCTTAGCCACAGAGTACCCAAGGATGACAGGAATGCCACGACCCAGAGTTTCCTGTGGAGGCTACACTTTGCCCTGTCGTGAGTAACTTCAGTGTTTGGAAATGGATGAGAGAAGCTCAGAGCTAACCTGGAAGCACAAGGTGGGTGGTCAGACAAGGGTGCCTGTGGAGTACTTAAGGTCGTTACCCCGCTTGTATTCTGGTTCCTGAAGGAAATGCCCAAACAGAAGAGCCAAGGACATGGTGAGCAGTGAAAGCCAGGGTGGGATGAAGCATCTCCCCCGGGAGTGGCTGTCCTACGGGCCACTTTGCATTCCCAGGTCCCCAGAGTCTCCCATTAGAGACTGGTCTTCCCACACAACCACCAGCCTCCTCCCTGGTGCCAGGTAGCTGCAGGCCGGCCATGAGTGCCCAGCTGACCTCAGCAGGAACGCGTGGTACGGCCCAAATTAGGGAGGGCTGGGGCAGAGTCCCACTGGGGTGCCCCACCGCCTGCTGGGGGTGAAGAACCCCCTTCTCGCTCCAGGGCTGGCAAGGCAGCAGATGGAAGGCAGTGGGTGGGATCAGATTAGAACAGACGAAAGCAAGGGCTTTGGAATTCCATTTCAGTCTCGTGAGACCAGAGAGACAGAGAAGGAAGACATAAAAGGCTCTGATGTCTCTGAAATTCCATTAAAGTCTCTTTCCCTCTTTCCTAAGATTATAATTCAGACTGGAAGCAATCTTGAGCGAGGCCTTCAAATTCCCCCAAATCCATTTCCCCCTCCTCCCAACTCCCAGCTTCCTCAGTCCCCTGATACGGCCCAACAGCTGCAGAGAGCGAGACGCGGCCCCTCCTCCGAGGAGCCTGCCCTGGCAGCGACTCTCCGCCTCATCAACCCTCCAGCTCATTTCCCACCGTGGCTGAAACGTCTTTTTTCCCTGAGATTGTACCTCTTAATGTCTCTCTCCCCGTGGGCTGCGTGGCTATGTGGAGCCCCAGGGACAGCAGGATGGGGCATCAAACAGCCTGGCAGCGAGCGCCCAGGGAACACGGACCCCTAGGCCTGCGCGCGCACTCCTGGCACCCGGGCAACGGGGCCGCTTTCCAGTGGGCCCCTCCGCCATCCCGGCTTTAAAGGTGGAGTATTTCAAATGCCCAGCTTGGCCCAGCAACGTGCCCAAGAGAGCGGCAAGACAATGGGGACGCTGAGGCCGGAAGACGGGCAGTTCAGACGTCGAGGTCACTGCTCAGGAGTCGGCACCAGGGACACCCAGTTTCTGCCAGGCAGGCCAAGAGGAGGCTGGCCGCCTCACGGCTCTGAGCTGGACGGGCGGGCTGGGGCGGGGCGGAATGGCGGCACCACTACACGGGGTGGGAGCGCCCGTCTCCCCCGTGCAGCAGCACAGCGCCCTCAACCCCCACACCCTCGCTGCACGCTGCACACCCCGCCTGCAGCACGCTGGCATGTCAAGGGGGGTCACCTGCTCCCCAGGCCGGGCCTCCCAGCACCGCAGTGGCAGCTTCCTAGCCCTGCCCACCCTCACCTGCCTGCCCTTTGCTCCCAACTCCTTCGGATTCAGTTTGACCACAGGCAGAAAAGGTGACAGACTACAGTCTATTTTCCATGATGTTTGACCTCAAACAGCTTGGCGGTCGGGCCCTCCCTGGTGGCGCAGCGGGTTAAAGCACTGCACTAAGAAGCTAAAGCCGCTTCCGCATGAGTTCGATTCCCGCCTGCCCCGGAGGTGACCACATGGCCCGGCAGACCCCTCCTGAGCCGCCCGGTGCTCCCCTCAGCAGTGTACTTCATCGATCTGCCTGTTCTGCTCCCCACTCTGTCTCTGGTGAAGCCTCTCACCTTCCGCATCTCTGGCCTGTACCCCAGTTCTGTACAAATAAATAAATAAATCTTTAAAAAAAAAAAGCTTGCGGTCGAGGAGAGAACGTCCCTCTCAGCGCCAGCCACGTGTCCACGGAGAGCAGGGGGAGCATGCCTCCCTGCACCCACTTTCAGCCATTTCCGCATCCGGCCCACACCGACAGCACTCCCACCACCTTCAGTGCAGGGGGCCAGGTTCCAGTACCGAGGGACCATGGCCGGGGCCCAAAGCCCACCACAACATTCAAACTAGCCAGTCCGACTCCCTCGGGTGTGTACCCTGCTTCCCCCACTCCTTCCGATAAGGGCTCTGGACCATGCTCCCTTTTGCTGCCTCTTCTGCCTCCCGGCCAGCCCTGGTCCCTCCCAGCGTGGCCAGTGTGGTGTGGCGAGCCCTCTGCTCTCTGAAAATGTGTGTCATGAGTTCTTCAGTGGCACTGACTTCTGGTTGTCCCTCAGTCAGCGCCATAAATTAACAGGCACAAATGAGACACAGACACAGGGTTATTCCCCACAAAACTCAGAAATTCAACTCATCCCCTATTTGCCATAAAGATTAAAAATAAGGAAGTTATGGGGTGTGAAAACTAAGGAAAGCGCAGGAGACATTTGCTGAGGTTTGTGTGACAGCGATGTGCAGGTCAAGGAGGAGTGTCCCTGAGTCCCTCAGGGGGGCAGCCTCCGTGGGTGGAGGGGCTCGTGAGCCAAGGCAGCTGGGCCCCCCCCCCCCAGTGTCCCCAGGAATATCTCTGCCCGGAAGGCCCTCTCTGAACCACACTCGCCTCACAGAGAAGACCCTGATCTGGTGGGCCACAGCCAAGGAGACTTAGGAAAGCCACAGTGTGCCTGAATGGGGCGGGCGCCCCCTCCCTGCATCCCTGCCGTGCCGTGGTGATGACGGGTAATGCGGTCACAGTACCCTGCCAACTCTCGGGGCCACGCCTGTGAGTGAGGACTCTCCATCCTTCTGTTCTGCAGCTCAAAGGAAAGAAACTCTGGCGCCGCTGAAAGTCAGAAGCCAAGAGCTCTAGAGATGAGGCGAGACCACCGGCGAATCCCTTTGCCACTCTAAGTGTTTCTTCAATTATAAAGGGGCGAGAGAGGGGAAGGTGGGAATGGGAGGAGAAAAACTAAATGATTTCCCAACTCTAGACGCGCTCAGTGCAACAACAGTGGTGATTTGCGCCCAGGCGCAAAAAGTCTCTATGGCACACTGCACAATTCCGCTCACAAGAAGCCGAACTGGGGAAAATACACGTGGGGCCTGGGGCCGGCGAGGAAAGGAGCGTGAGGAGACGCTCAGGGGTGGAAGTGGTCTGCCTCCGACCCGGTGGTAGTTACACAGCGTAGACATACTGAGCAGCACGAACTGGGCGACTGCGATGTGTGTACTTGCGGGTATATTAATACCACAATAAATTTTTCCTTAAGAAAGAAAAATTGTACCTGGCATGGGGAGAAGATGATATGCCAGGTTTCAGCTAACGAGCCGCTCACCTCCACCGTCATACCCCCAGTTTTATTCAGGAGCTAAGCCAACCCCAAACAGGATCTGGGATGAGGGCTGTGTGGGATCTCAAGGCAGCAAGAGAACTAAGGATACATCCACTCTGCCGCCCTCCACCCCTGGGTGGGAGCTGGCACCCTCCCTCCCACCCCCCACGGGCATGGCACTAAAGCAAGACCCGCACGTGGAGGGCAGGGACACACACATTACAAGTGGCCCTTACACCGCTGGAGAGATCGGAGGGGTGGGGCTGGCCACCAGCTTCTCCTCAGCCTCTTCCTGCCCAGGGCCCGGCTCCTCGGCCCGGGGGTGCTGCTCCGTGCCCCTCTCAAGGGCAGTAGGAGGGGTGGGGATCGCCTCCCTTGACAGCAATAATGAAGCAGCCGTGTTAGAGCTGGCAGGAAGCGCCTCTGGCGTCAGGAAGCTGGCTGGGCTGCAAGGTTGCCAGGCCTCAGCCCCCAGACTACGTTCTCCCCTCCCTGCCTCTTCCTGGGCTGTACGCACCAGTGACTCGTGTCTGGTGGGACGGGAGACAGTGGCGTGCTCGGGGAGGGGCGCTCCGCACTGCAGGGCCCCGGATGGCTGGCGACACCCACTGCCACGCAGCTGTGGCCGCGGGCTCACCCTGGGAACTGAACTAGCAAAAGCACACCAAGCTCTGGCCAGGCTGGCCTCTGGGAGACCTGGCTAGGTACCCTTCTCCTTCCGGAGCCCTGTACCCAGCGGGGTTTGCTCACTGATGAGGGGGTGATGGCTGGTAGGACGTGACCGGCAGAGTGGTGACTGGGAGAAACGCCCCGTGCACACACTGCCACAGCAGGAACAGCACTCTCTGCCCCAGCCCCTGGCAGGGAGCAGCTGAGCCAGAGAGGGGCTTCCTTACTCAAAAGTTCCTAAACAACCCTAATCAGACTGTGTGCCCCAACCTTAACAGTAGACTGAGGACAAGAAAGAACAGCTTTCCCAGCAATTGTACGGAAACTTCTGTTGCTGCTGCCCTGCCTGCAAGCCCACCCCAGCAACCCCCAGCTCTGCAGGCCAGCCACACCCTCCCTCACACACACCAACTCCACTCAGGGCCAGGTCACCACCGCCCAGGAGACCTCTGCCTTCCCCTTACCTCTGCAGGGACAGGGGCGAGGCGGGGCTGCCCACTGAGTGCTCTCCTGGCTCCTCCGCTCCGTTCTGCTTGGGCTGTTCTTCGGGGGGCTGCAGTGCCCCAGCTTTGGAGGTCCGGCTGTGAAGGGGACTCCGGGGCCGCTCCCCGTGTAGAAGCGGAGGCGATAACCTGGTCAGAGCAGAGTGGCAGAGTCAGACCCTCTATTTGGGGAGCACAAGGAGAACTGGGGAGCAGGTGTGCACTGAGGTCTGGACCTCGGCGCGAAGGAGACAGCAACCTGCTGAGTACGCTCCCTGCCTGGACTCCTGGGGCTCAGCTAAGCCCCCAGGCTCACAGCCTTCCCAGGTCCCCAGGCTGCATTTGCTGGGCCAGCAGAGAGAGCTGAACACACGCACAGGTATGTCCATACCCACAGTTCACCATCACTGTGGTCAGGGAGGGATGGAGAAACTGGGCGGAAAGTAGAAAATAAGAGAAGTCAGACTCAAGTAGTCAGACGACAGATAGTGTATGAAGCTTCAGGTTTAAGGAAGAATGCTGATCGCTTTTCAAGGTCCCATCTCTCTCTCTCTCTCTCTCTCTCTCTCTCTCTCTCACACACACACACACACACACACACACACTTAGTCATTTCAGGTGCAGCAGGGCCCTGGCTCAGGGCTCTGAGTTACCCTCCATCATGCCCCCCCAGAGCTCCAGCAGGCTCCTCCAGCCCTGACCTATGGCCAGGCACACACAGTCTGACCACCGCAGAGCCCGGGGCTCTCACAGGTAGGTGCTAGTGCACAAAGCCCCTCCAAACGCACTGAGTGGCCGTTGCTTATGCACACCTCCAGACTCGACGAGGTCCGGCCAGCTTGTCCCCTGCCTCGGGCAGGAGCACACTGCGCTGACTGACCAATGCCGGGACTGCTCAGGTCCACGCCAGGCGCCCGAGGCCACCCCCCCACCACTGTACCTCTCCAAGGCTTTGGACGGCTGCCTCTGCCGCTCGTTTCTGCTGGACTGGCTGTCATCCTGGTCTTCTCTTTCCAATATCTGGGCCTGTTGGCCGGAAGCAACGGAAAGTGGATGGCGGAGGAGTTTGCATTTAGCCCCTCAGTCCCCAGGCTGATCCCCGTGCCTGGGAGGCAGCAGGGTAGGTGCCTCTCCAGTGGACGGGGACACTTGGGACACAGAAGGACAAGCCTGCCCCCTGTAGAAGGAAGCCCCCAGGCTCACAGCTGCTACCCGTGCTAGCCCTGCCGCCTAGGAGGATGAGTCACACACCACAGCTACTGCGCAGAGCCAGAAGCCAGAGGCTGAGGGGGACACGGTGGAAAAGAAAACCCTGCTTCCTGCTGTTAGCAGCTTTCACTGCCTGCTACAGCAAAAGGAGACATTCATGAACACCCCAAATCCACAGAGGCCTCAGCCCTCCAGTGCCAATGCCATATGGAGATGCTGAAGTAACAAAATTGGGGGCCGCAGACCAGTACCTGAAAGGGGAAGGAACCTGGACAGGGGGAGACTTGACGAGAAACGGCTACAGTCCAGATGAACGGGGGAAAGACCAGGTGCTCCTCCGCCCACTGCAAGCTCCGCCCAGTGCCCAGGCCCGGGGGTAGACCTAAGTCCCTCTCCGCCAGGCACATTCAGCAAGCTGCTGGAAGAGGACTACACTTGATGGCAAACATTCTCTGTAGAGGTGGGGCCACAGGGGTATAGTGGTGTAGCTGGCCTGGAACCAACCCTTTGTTCTAGCATTTTCTCCCTGGGAGTCTGTCCCCTCTGCTGCAAAATGGGACAGTGAACTGCAGCTCCCAGGATTTCAGTGATGATTCCATTAGCCCAACGCCTGACCCCAAGAAGACGCTCCGCCACTGTTAGCGCCTCTACTCACACTCCTCTCCCTCTCCCGGCCTGAGACAAAGAGAAACCCTGCCGGTGCCAGTCCCCGCTCTGAGGCCTGTGCTCCTCTGTCACACTGACAGGAGCCCTGTCTGTTCCAGGACACAAGGGCTAGCGGGCAAGGTGGGGCGGGTGACAGCTCACTCCGTCTTCCCGGGTGGGGTTCTGGACAGCCTGGCACACTGCTGCGCCCCCATCTCTGCGCCCAACACCCCCCACACCTCTCCACTGGCAGCCTAAGTCCCTGCAGCTGTGGCCGATTCTGCCATCTGGATGGACAAGGAAGGGCAGGGCCTGAATGAAAAGCCAGCTCTCCCAAATTACATTAAAAATAGAAATGCTGCCTGCGAGTGCCTCCCGGTGCCCGCAGCAGAAGGGCTCCCTGCCAGGGCTGCCACTCCGAATCGCATCAGCCCGGCAGCCGCAGCCAACGCAGGGTGAGCGGTCCCCCTCCCGCCCACCTCACTCCCCTTCCAGGGTTCAACTCGCACCTTGTCTTCCCTACCAGCCACACCAAGCTCAGCAGACAGCTCCTGCTCCCACTTTTCAACGAAAGAAAAAAACAAAACACAGAGGCCAACCTGCGTAACAAACTCAAATACAAGACGGGTACCAAAGTGGGGGATCACAACAAAGCCTGGGGGACTGGGTCAGAAAGGACACGCTATCGACAAAGTGGTGTCTGTTTCCTCCTTGGCGCCCCATCTCTATTTCTACTAGAAGCCCAGCTCATCTACCAGCCAGAGAAAAGGGGTAGCTTGGGGAAAATAGCCAGACGGGGGCGAGTCTGACCTGATTCCTACACTTTTGCCACAGAAAAGTAATCAAAGAACAGCTGAGGCCCTCAGCTGCAACGGTGCACCCCTGGAAGGGGAGACCCCGCCCGGGCTCAGCCCAGCCACGACGGCTCCAGACACCGCTCCCCTCCTTAACCCAGCGCTGGGGCTTTGTCTCAGTTAGGACTCAGGCCCCAGTTCAGGCCATCACAGTGCGTTCACAAAACAGGACGCTCCATAGCCACTGAGGAGCACGGACAGCTGAAGTTAACAGCAGGTCAGGGGTTGGGTCTCAAATGTAAACGCATTGCCAAGCAGTTTTTGCAATGCAGTTGCAATTTCTGTGGGAAGAAGATAAATAGAAATAAGAGGGGTAGGCTCAGACGCACAGAAAACTTTGCAGAAAGGCACACAAAAACGTGAACAGAAACCAGAACAGCTCCCACCTGTGGGAGGAAGACAGGAAGTAGAGGACTGAACTTCCACATTATTTGAAGTGATTTTATGATCATTTTTGTAATTTGTTATAAAATGTGCCATGTTTACGATTCATTATAACTAGGCTTGACTGTGGTGAAGGCTTGAAAGGTGAACATCTATGGTAAAACATAACAGCACGTTTCAAAGATGTCCAGTTTATTCCTTGGCAACTATATTAAATCAAAGCTGTATTTTAAAAAATACTTAAGTGAAGAAAAATAATTTGGCTCAGTTCTAAGCCTCTGCCCTGGCCCTGGCCTTGGACTTTTCCAGAGGAAATGGGAAATGGGTGAGAGTCCACAGGGAAGACAGACTGGGTTGATGGTTCTGTCTGTCCCACAAGAGGCTACTGCCCCTGCCCACCGCCCACAGCCTCAAGAGGGAGAGGTGGAGACAGAGCCCCACAATGGCTCCATGTGGCCAGTCACCGAGCACACAGAACACCTCCACATGGCGGGCGGGCGGCCGGGAGCAGCAGCTTCGGGCTCCGTCCCCCTGGGCTGGCGGCCAGAGGGCACCTGGTGAGACCAATCTAAGGCAGGCTGCCCCCTGCTTCCCACCCACTGGCATGCCCCAGAAGTAGGCCTCTTTAGATTTCAGGGAGGACCAAGAAATCTGTTTCTATAAAGTCCCCAAGGAACTCTGATACTGGCCAAGCTTTGATGTGGAGCAGTGGAGATGCCCAGCCACTGACCTGCTGCCAAAGGTGCATCACAACCCACCTGCCCCAAGCCCTTCCTGAATAATCCCTCCTGCCCTGCTCTGTGTCTTTGCAGGCCTTCAGCGTGGCCGAAGGGGATCACGGTCCGTCGCGGAGCCCAGGAAGGCAGTACCAGCCGGGGCTAGGAGCACACGTGGGCACCACCAGGACCAGCCTGACGCCCCTCCACCTACTGCGCTCTTTCTGCTCAGGGCCCCCAGGCTTGCTTCACACTGGACATTGTGTTTGTCTTATTAAACTACAACTTCCATTTCCCCCAAAGCAAACTCTCCCTTAAAGTTATAAGACAGACTGCCAGAAGCCCTCTCTTCTAAAGACACACAAAAAGCATGAAAAATTATCTTCTTGGCTTTAAGCTCCTTGGGGACTTGTGTGTCTGAGTCACCTTGCATCCTACTCTGAGTACAAAAGGTCAGATGTCACCCATGCCTGCACGGAGCTGACATCTGGCCAAGGAGACAAAGAACCCTGAAGCAAAAGCAACCGCAGTGGGAAGCAAAGTGCACCTCCAAACTAGAGAAGCCCGTGGACAGAGAGAAAGCAGTTGAGCAGGCAGTGATGAAAGGGTGGATGGTGTGCCCCAGGTGGGCATGGCTGGCACAAACAGGTAGGCTGAGCATGAGCTGCCGAGGTGGGTGGGCCAAGTCTCTGAAGGCCAAACTACAAGCGTTCTACACGTGAGCAGGCAGTCAACCTGCAGACTCTGAATGAACAGCTAAACAGAGAAGTAGCTGGGGGGGAAGGAGGGGAGAGAACACCAGAATTCAACAGATGAGCAAAGCAGGAATGCTGGGAAGGAATGTGGCCTCACCACAGGCCAGGCTTTAATGATTAGAAGGGAAGGAACCCCCAGACTGCACCCTGGGCTGACACGGCTGGGCTCTCATGATCCCCAGAGACTCACCGCCGGACAGGCTCCATTTAGGACCGGGGAAAGCGCAGTGACATCCAGCAGGTGCTCCGAGACCCGGCTGCCAAAACCAAAGTCCTAGACAGTAGAGATGGCGGTCAGTTCCGCCTCCACCACCAGGGCCTCCCTCCACCCTGCCTCGATCTTCTCGGAAAGTGCCTACCATGTGCCAGGCACTGTGCTAAGCCTTTCCATGTCTTCAAAATACTGGTATCTTAGTGACTAGATGGGTAGCTGTGAGTAACCACATAGTAAATATCCGTTGCCAACTCTAAGTGGTAAATACATGGATAGTCATTGTAAAATTCTTTTAATTTTTCTGTAGGATAGAAAATTTTCACAATAGAATTATGGGGGTAAAGTAACCCCATGAGACGGTCCTCTTATCCTCCTCTCGCGGACAGAGGAAGCAGGTTTGACAATGCATGTCTCTGCCCAAGTCACACAGCTGAGAAGCAATGGGGCGGGGGGGTCAGATGTGCCCTGGACTGACTCCAAGTGCAAGTTCTAGAACACATGCCACCTTCTGGTGTGTCTCCCTCCCCCAGGGCCCCAGGGCCCCAGCAGAGAAATCAAAGAGCCCGGCAGCACTGTAGGCAGCTTAGAGGTGGTATTTGGCAGGCTCCTCCCGCATGGTCCCCTTCCCCTTCCCACACAGGCCCCCTCTGCACAGCCCACGGGCTTCTGCTTGGGAGAGGTAGCACATGCCACACAGTCAGATCCTGTAGCCCTCTGGCTACCACTGGGCCTTGGGCCACTCCCACCGCCCCGCGCCTGTAATGCAGGATTGCTACCTGTGAATGCCACTGGCAACAGCTACAGCATCAGCCCCAGCCAAGGTCTGTTCTGGGGCCACGACTCCCTCCACCGGTTCCCACAGAGGAGGAAAATGCTGATGGGTACATTTCTCCGCCTGGTGATCCCTCCCCAGGCCGGAGCCCTGGCTTCAAAGAGTTCCGCGACATGGCTAAGCTTCATGACACTTTTTGCCAACACTGACTTTTTGCCTTCCCGTTCCAGCGTGGGGGTTTTGCTTTTTCGGTGTCATTTTCCTTGCAGTTTGAGTTCTACTCCACTTAATGCCGCTGCCATCTGCCTCCTAAGCCTATGACTCAGTGAGGGGCTACAGCACACAGCCTGCTAATTCCTCGGCACCCCCTCGTATCATTACTGTTCATCCCTGACCCTCTCCCACTAATCCCTTCCCTTTGATCTGCCTCGTCCAAACAGATGGAGCATGGTTGCTAGAGGTAACGCGCTGAGAAAAGCACCCCAAACTACTCCCCTTAGATGCAGACCTGGCAAGTGCAGCTGGAATACAGCAGGCTGGGCGGAAGGTCTGGGACAAAGAAACCTTGCATGCTGGTGTTCCAGAACAAAGTCTAAACTTCGAAAAGAAACTACAGCACCCCTCTGCCCAGAGCCCGAGGACTGCCCCTCACCCAGCTCAGTGAGCCCACACGTACAAATGCACGTGCGCGCACACACATGCACATCCCAGGTCTCGGCTCTAGCAGAGCTAGAGCCCAGAGGCGACCCCAGGTGATCTCACAGGCTGTTCACGTGGCAGCGCTAACACTGATGGTGTTAGCGAATATTGACCTAATGTCTATATGCTGACTCTTGACATCCTTTACTTCATTTTCTTCTCACAAGTCTATATAGTAGGTAGAGTTATCCTTAGTCAGCTTAGAAACTGGAGTTAGACAAGACCCAAGTTTGAATCTGCCTTCCCGCCGGCAAGCTGTGTGACTGGAAGCAAATTAACACAGGGACTGGCACTCCCTGGTCTTCACCACCACCCACTGCTCTCACTTCAGACTCACCAGGCCAAGGAAGTTCTTGGCGTCCAAAGCAGTGGAGTCGGAGAGTGGTAGGTCTTTCACGTGTTCACTGATGTCTGACTCCTGTGAAAAGAGCCCCACAAAGAAATCACCCAGGGCAGAGCAGAGAGAGCTCGGGGCCACTGCTCAGGTCGTGCTGCCGCTACAAGGCGGAGCCCGCACAACTCCCACCTCGATGGCAAACTGAGAGAGGCTGACGCAACCCCCTTCTCTATTTGCCCCCCACCCACTCAGGTTGCTCAGCCCCGATGAGTATGGACAAGCACAACCACACCTGGACTCGGGGTCACAAAAATTTCCAGGGGTAAGGATCATGAAGCAGAGGAGAGATGGGAGAAAGGTGGCAAGGGGAGTTTGGAGCTATCCTAAAAAGCAGACTGAGACGATCTTCTCCAGAAAATGGCTACGAACTCTTTTAAATGAGTCCTTTCATCATCTACCTGCAGGAGGATCAGTGGGTGGAGTAGAAAATGCCAAAGGCTCCCCCTGGGGACCTACTTCTGTCCACCTGGGTCATCAGCCTAGTCTTGCCAAGAAGTCAGTGTGCGGCTCCTTGTAACCTAAGTGCCCAGTGTTGGGTCAGAACCCTCTCAAATGTCCCCCCTTCCACTGCTAACATTCTTCTCGCTCAATGGGATCTCATGCTGCTGCAGCAGCCATGACTGATGTCAAGAAGTAGAAGGGGGAGGCAGGAAACAGGACGAGGTAGAGAGCAGGAGAGTAGAACATGTCCACCCAGGAGGGTGCCGTGGAAAAGCACTTTTCTGCTCTGAGTTTCTAATGCCAGCAGGGTTGGAGTTTCAGTCAAAATTCTACTGCCTACTGGGTCTGGGCCTATTTGTCACAATTATGGGCTCTGGCTATTCTGACAGCCCATCACAGGGCCTGCAAACGAAGTCCCTGCCTCAGTAACAAAGACGCAGGGACAGGACCCCGCAGAGGGCTGAGGGCATCGGAGGGTGCAGTCATCGACTGCCCCTGGGCAACGGGACTTACTTTGCTGATGTCGGATCTGCTCTCTTCCAGGACAGAAGCCTCCTTTTTCCGCTCCACTGCTGCCTCCTCTTCCCTGGCTCCCTCTTCCCCGACCTCCACAGGGTCCTCTGCTGCCTCTTTTGAACTGGCTTGGGCAAGCTGGTCGCCCCCAGCGTCCACTGCAGGGATCGCCAGGCTCCCAGAACTCCCAGGATCACTCTTCTCTTGCTTTGCTTGGTCTGGGAGCCAAGTGCTAGGCCCTCTTTCCTGCCGCCCATGGCCAGTGCGCAGGCTGTGGTCTGCCCCTTGTCTGAAGAGCTTGCCAGGAGTTGGGGGCCTGGCAGCTTCAGAATCCAGAGAACCATCCTCCTTCTCCTCTGGCCGGTTTGTTCGTGGAGACTCCTAGGGAACGGCAGACCATGTCAGAGAGGAAGGAAATAATAAAAGGAGTCTGAAGGCTTGTGGCCAGTGGGGCCACCGGCCCTGACTCCCACAGACCAGCGCCCCATCCCCGGCACCAATGGCTATGATAACAGGATTCTTTTAAAACAGAATCCTGGCGCCATCCCACATCTATGACTATGGAGACTGGGACACACCCAAAACAGCCCTCAGCCACAGAGGGGCATGGAAAACCAGCGAGCTTCCAACCACACGGGACTCAGCAACTCCATCACCAGCCCTCACGTCCTCCCGCCCCGTTAGCCACTGCAAAGACGGCAGGCTCAGAGGCCCGTGTTTACTGATGGCATGATGATGTAGGAACACCCGAGAGAAAGGGACCAAAGTGCAGAATTTCTGGTTTTCATTTTTAAAAAAGCTACCAAGAGGATGGACTCTTCAACACTGTGACTCCTGCCTCTCCCCAGGCACCAGGGACTTGACTGAGACAAGTCATCGCTTCAGGGTGGTGGGGTGAAGCTAAGAACATACAACATTCCCCATTAACCTGAGCAGCTGTCAACTGCTTGGGGGGACACTGCCTGGAAACCTTAGCGCACTTAGGCATCACTTGGCCAGCTTTCCCTTTGTCTTAGACAGGACTTGGCTGTAGCCAAAGGATTCCAGTAAAACACTTTACAGCACCTGGAAATAAAGAACAATGACAACAGCTCTCATCCGAAAGCCGCCCCTGTACGAACAACCCTGGAGACAGGGTCCTCTATCAGACTGTCAACTCAGGTCCTGAGAAGCAGAGTCCCGACAGGAAGAGGTGTGTAGGAGACTGATGACGAGGAGAGAAGCAGAGAAGAGGAAGGGGGAAGGCTTCAAGCCACAGCATGGCTGAGAACGTCTTTGCCAGCCCTGCTAAAAGCCCCCAAGTAGGTTCCCACAAGAGGGGCCCTATGTGAGGAAGTGGCCTGGCTCTAGGGCCTGGAGCGCCCCCTCAAGCCCACCGGCCAGCATAGCCTTGCAGGAGCCAGGGTAGACGCTGGGTTCAGCAGCTGGAGGCTGTCACCCTACTGAGCTCCCCCCCCCCCCCGCCAGCTGCTGGGCAGAAATGTGTGCACCTCGCCCTGCAGCCCCCACTCCTTGCAAGGAGGGGCCAGATGGAGCCCCTCAGGCAGGGCAAGGGCACTGTACCATTATGGCCACTAACAGGGAGTGTGACCCCAGGCGAGTGGCAAGATACTATGAGCTGAGGTGAGGGCAGCTGAGCGGGATGATGTCTGGGCCCCTCAAAGCACCCAGTCCTGGGCAACACCTGCTCAGTGGGTCTGTGTACAAGTTTGAGGGCCAATAGGTCGAGGCCACAGGTGGGGACCCTGCAGGGATTGCTGGCCTCAGCCTCAGTCAGTGGCGAGGGCTGACCACTGGCTGGAGTCTGATCTGTCAGCATGACAGCCCCTGAGTAAAACCTGGCCCTTCCTCAGGACAGGGCTGGGAGCTGTGGACTAATCCACCCACACTGCTCCCAGGCCTCACACCAGGAGAGGGGTCTCAACTGCCCTGGGCTGGCAGCAGGCAGCAGACAGCAGGCAGCTGCTGGACCCTGGCCCCTCCCAGGGGACCTCACTTTGAAGACTGGGAAAAACCACTAGAACTGACCAGAAAACAAAAATCCTCCCCTGGAAATGCAGCCAACAATGCCCTGCACTCCGGCAGGGAAGACTTCCTCCCAGAAAACCTCTGTGCCTATACATGGGTTGCTGGTCTGGACAACCTCTGAGCAGGGACTTTTAACACTCCCTGACTCCCCACGCTGGAGACTCAAACAAGGAGCGTGACGACCCAAGCCAGAGGTCTGAGAAGCCTAATGCGGCATTCATCAATGCTGGGCCCAAAGACGGGTTGCCCGCCTGTAGCCCTGGTGGCCGTCTGGCAAGATGGCCCGGCTCTCTGAGGCGGGGAAAAGGACAGGGTGGCAGAGCAGCTCAGAGCTCAGCTTTGGCAGAGGGTACCTGGCTCAAGTATTGGCTCCACACTTATAGGGAGCTTAAGCCAATTAATTTCTCTGTATCTCCGTTTCTTCCTTCAAAATATGGGGATATAAGAGGGCCTATCTACCTCACGGGGTTGTGAAAAGATGAAAGGAGCTCACATCCACTGAGTGAGGCCAAGAACAAAGAACTGACATCCAGCACATATTCCAAATATGGCAGCTAACCTGGGAGGAGACCCACGCACCCATTCACTAAGGACCTTCACATGCCAAACACCATCGTGGGACCCCAACATGAACAGGGAATTTGGTTCAGTATAACAGTGAAATGTCCAGGGGGTCCTGGTTGTGACTCTGCTTTGGGTAAAGGGGACTGGACTCGGTAGCGATGCCGCGGCCAGCCCGACTTTGTCCCAGGGCAAAAAGCAGACGGTGCTGAGAGGAGGAGCAGGCTCCTCATGCTGTGGCAGAAGGTAGGCAGGGCGTCCTCGGCTGCTGCTTATCCTCAACACCCCAACCATGGCACAGAATGCCATGACCAACGCACCATGGGCACTAGGCTAAGAGAAGCACCTCGGGGAAATCAGGCCTGTTTATCTCAGTCCCCAACAGTGGCCAGGACTCAGCAGGAATTTAGTCACTGATCTGGGGGCCCCACAGACTCCAGGGAGGAGTGGGCGTGTCTTAGGAGGCGCAAGGAGTTGGCGGCCACTGCATTTGGTCCCCCCTCAGCAAAGGCACCCACCCTGGCTTTGGTGGTTCTGTGGTAAAGGCGGCCTCCTTCTTCAACAGCAGTGAAACCTGGCCCCCAGGGAGTTGCTTGGTAACAGGTCTTGGATTGGGGGATGGAGGAAGTGCCAGCACACAAACACAGCCATGGTCACACCACCACTTACGGCCCACAGCCCTTCTCCACCCAGCCCCTGCCTGCTTCTCCCTGGTAGGCTCCAGCCACACAGCACACAGCCTCTCCTGCTGTCTAGGAATTAGCACCAGGCTATCTCACTCTGCCATGCACATTCTTAACCCTCTCTCCTCCTCCCCTGATAAACTCCCACAAAGCCTTCCCGATCCCTGGAGCAGCTGACCTGAGATGAGCCTTGTCCATCCAACCCCATAACAGCTACGTCACTGTAATTGCTGATCTCCTTGATGGTGTGCCTCACCAGATTAGCTCCACATTACCCTTAGGTCTAGTTTCTGGCATATAGTAGGTGCTCAGTAAATGCTTACTGATTGAGTGATTTGGAGTAAGTATGAAGCAGACATGGGAGGTGAAGCTTCCCTTTCTACTCTGTAAAATGGATCCCTAACATCGATTTTACAAAATACAGAGGATCAGATTCCATTAGATTTGTGACAAGTCTTATTATGTTAACTCTTAATATTCAAAATGGTAGAGAAACAAAAAGTAGAGGACAACTGATACAGATGGACTACGGTTTCCTACATGAGAGGGTACAGCCAGACCACAAGGCCAGACTCAGTCCAGGCAACCCTGCAGGTTAAATTCTTCCAAAGAGTTTCACAAGATAGAGCTTATCCTATTCCAACTACCTAAATGAAAATATTAAGATGTGGCTAATACTAAATCAGTGAGCCTGTACTCGCTGTGCCCATGTGGACTAACTGCAATGACATGCAGGGCAGAGGCCTGGGTAAGGAAGGATAAGGACAGCAGTGGGAGACTGGACATCTGTTGTAGATCATCCACAAGCAACAGTCTGAGAGGGGTCTGGAAATCCCATCCACCCCACGCTGCAGACTCCACTCGGCCCATGCTCCTATCACGTCGCCACAGGCCTGAGGCTTCTGGGCAGCAGGGTAGCAACCCCTGCCCAGTGCTTGAGGGGCTGACAGGCACGGGAGGGAGCCTGAGCTCTTTGGTGCTTACACGCCTGTCTCCTGTCACAGCCCTGGGTCCTTGAGTGTCACAAAGCAAATTTCTGCTGCTTTTTCAAAAAAGCCATCTGCATGATGAGGAGGTGGAAAAGAGAGCCTGTAAGAGCCCCCTGCATGAATATTTAACATACCCCCCAAAATCCATGAGGCCTCCGGAGTCGCCAGCCCCCTCCTCCAGGCTGGCACAGAGGCAGGGCTCCATGTCCAAGAGGCTCAGGCAGGAGGGAGCGGAGGACCGGGAGTGGCAGGCGATGTCGTGCAGACACAGCACTCGGGGACTCCCGCCAAGCCAGCCATCAGTCCAGTTAATTTTCCACGTCTCATTCCCGCCCCGTTGGTCTCAATTCTGTTCACTGCTCCCCATGTTGCTAGCGCTTCCCAATCGCACTGACATCATCCTGTTATTTCTGAGCCCAGCTCCCTCCCTCCACTTTGGTCCCCCGTGGGCTTTTCATCAGCACCACAAGGCTACATACCACCTGCTGCCTCCCCTCAGACTCCCCTCTTGCACTCACACCCATTCTCAGTGGCTGTTCCACAAACATATCCCTCTTGATTCTGTAGCAGACTAGAAATGGGTTGGAGATGAAGGCAAGAGGGAGGGGGAGGAGACAGGAAGTGGGAGAAAGAAGCATCCTTGCCATCCTACTGCCCTCTCATGGAATCAGGAGCAAAGTGACTGCTGGCAGTGAGACAGGGTGGAACTAAGCAGGAAGGAGAGTTCCATCTCGGACTTCCCGGGAGGCCCAGAGCAGGGAGAAGTGGGCAATTCCGAGGGTCCAAGTTCTATACACTGGGCCAAAAGTCATCTTCAGTCCAAGTGAAGGCAGCGCTGATCTGAAACCTTCCCACCTATCCCCACAGCTAACTTGGAAAAGTCCTAGCTCCTGCCTGAGGTTAGAACACAGGAATCCAACACTCCATGTGGCAAAAAGAACTAATTCCACAGGGGTGCTACAAGACACGGGTGGGAGGTGTCTGTAACACCTCCCACTCCAGACTTTTCCCCTCTCACACTGGGTTGCCTATTTATATTAAAGAGGTTATAGAAAATATGTCTGAAAGCCCCCCTCCTCCAAAGCAGCATGCATCATCATTAGAAGGGGAGCTTTGGGTAACCCAGCACAAATCACAGAAAATCTTTTTATTGATATTTCTAATCTGTTATGAATAAAAACTAACCAGTCCAGAGTCAAGGGCATTATGATTGAGCACACTGGGATCTTCGGGCACCACATACCCACTCCAACCAGGACAGGGCAGCAGAAGGAAGAAACCATGTGACTGAGCTCTTGAGCTGCCTCCCTACGCAGCCTGGCTCATTCATTCACTCTTCTGCTCAGTTTCTCAGTTGCTCAACAAAATACCCCCACGCTTCCTACTTCCAGGCAGTAGGCTAAGTGCTGACGTGAATCAGCTAGAATCTCTCCCTCAATGTGCTCAGTCTCAAAGAGACCTGTCCTCATTCCGAAAGGAAGCCAGCCCTCCTGACGCCCTTCTAGGCTCAAAACCCAAGCATTCTCCTTGATTCCATCACTGATACAAGGTACCAATGGTCCACAGACACAAAGGTGCTGTTCAGGGAACCAAGTAGGCTGAAGGCTTATATTTAAACCAACCAGATCAGGCCCCACCCACAAGAAAGAATTAGAGCAGAAACAGACCTGGTTAATGAGGAGGAGAAAAAAGTGTCACATGTGGCAGTGTTACAGTCACAGTCAAAACATTTCTGTGCAGAACTGGAAATTTGGAGAGATTCTGGAGTAACAGAGAAAGCTGAAGTATAAAAAGGAATCTTCCCAGCAGCTGGCTGAGTTACTTGGGAAGGCCCAGCTGCAGGTCTGGTCTAGGTACCAAACCAGGGCCTTACCGACATCTGCAGCCTCAGCCAATCTGAGGTTAAACCCTGGCTCTCAAGGCAATGGAAGACTAAGAGATAAGAATCAGAAATAATAAGACCATGACAAGGATAACAAATAATAAGGATAAGCAATAAGAGATAATAAGGACACAGTTCAATCCAGTGCAAGCACTTTGGTGAGTTTTGTGATTGTTCTGATAAAAATATGAGTGATTGATTTCATTCCTAAAGGGTTAAGGTCAAAGAATTTGTGTAAAAAAGTTTCACTACTTTTCAAAAGTTTTCCATCACCATTTAAAGACTTGGGGAAATCTGAGTTATTGACTTCATGATGTACTGATGTACAAATACACTGGGAATATTTGGAGAAGCATTAATTGTTAAAGATTAATGAAGTGAAGACTAGATAAAATAGAACATAATGGGGACTGCTCCTTTTCAAGTATAAAAATGCATTTGGAGTTCTTAGGTATTAAAAAGAATTGGTAAGTTTTCAGTTTTGTTTGTCTTAAAGCACATTCTGGTGGTAGAGGAGGGCACACTATGGAGACAAAGACTAGAAGCAACAGGACTGTGGAAGTGGGAGGGTGCAGAAGCATCTGGAAGGGCCTGGAAGCTATTCCCATCCACAGTCTGCATTTCCCTGCCCTTGTGCCTCTGTCAAGTCACTTGCCTAAAATGCCCCTTAAATCCCCCATATCCAAAATCTGCTCTTCAAGATCCAGGTCAAATATTCCCTCCATCAAGTTTTACTTAAACTCTAGGCAAGAAACTCTTCCCTTCTTCCACACGGTGTGCCTATGCTGTAACTCTTCACACGCACTGTTGTGCTGGGCAGTGCCCTGAGTATTCCTTGACTCACACTTACAAAGCACCAAGCACCTAGTGTGCTTCCTAACTGCGAACTTCTTGAGACCACCCAGGCACATGGCCCACAGTTATCTGCTTTTCCCACAGGGCCTAGCTTCCCCGTCTGCTTCAGAACCAGCCTTCAACAAAAATTTGTCACGTTAGATTGTTACACCTGTTCAAAACCTCCAATGGTTCCCAATGCCTGTACCATCCAATCCAAATCTCACGAGGCAGTCAAGTCCTCCATGACGCAGCCCAACTTATCGCCATGAGCCTACGTTCACTCCCCCATGTGCTCTGAACTCCAAAGAAGGCTCCTCATCGGCCCCAACGTCACTCCGTAAGCTGCTTTCACCTGTGCAGCACCTGCATCTGGACTTCTCTTTCACTAAAGACTTGTCCAGTCCCACCATCAGTCTTCCTGGCTTACCTCAATGCCTTAGTTTCTCACTGAAGCCTCCCATACGGGCACCATATTGATACAGGGCAGCAGGGGACACTGAGCTTGCCAAGGCCCCGCTGCCCCTATAGTTTACCAATTACTGGCAGAGCTCTCATGCGCACACGTGTGGGGAGCTCTCTTACATACTTTTTTTGTTGTTGTTCTACCCCACTTTAAGCACCTTTCTGGGGGGCTCTATCTTTTACCAGCAAACCCCTCCAGGAAGCACCACCCATAACAGTTTATGGTTTCAGCTACCAGTATCAATATGGACAGGAGACTCCCAATTCTTCCCCCACCACGACACTTTCCAGTCACTTAAGTCTCACTTTTATGAAACTGTAAACTCTTAAAGGGAAGTAATTACCTCTAATTCATGCTTCTGTGACTTATAGTACCAGCAAAGTGACTCATGTAGAAATATTCCATAAATGTGGCATTTGATAAAAGAATAAATGGATGGATTCCCCCCTCGTATCCATCCCCACCACCTAGAAGTCCCATCTAGACAGGACTGGGACAAAATGATTCTCTTTGCAAATAGGCATCCCACAGGAGGAAGGCTTAAGAAAAAAGGAAGGACAAACCAGGTTGAGGCATTCTGGAAGGATTTCGGGCTCTTACCTCACACTCAAAGTCACCCCCAAGTGCCCCAATGTCCAAGTGCAGGTTCTTAAGGAGCTCACTTGAGCTGTGCACACTCTGAAAAGAAAAATGATTGTGAGTGGTAAGTCGAGGACTGCTCAGCTCATGGAGAGGTTAACAAGTTTCTGATTGGCTATGCTTTCTAGGTCAGACTCGGGAGGTATATAGACTGGGCAGAAATGAAGCTGTGACTGGAAAATAAGTTTCACTTATTTTCAAAGTGCCACAAAGGTTAGCCAAGAGCAACGCAAGTGCCCACCGATAAATGAATGGCTAAACATAACGTGCTATACAGACACGCACGGCTTAACAATGAGGACATGTTCTGAGAAATGTGTCATTGCATTTCAGCCCTGTGTGAAGGTCATAGTATAGAATCACACAAGCCTAGATGGTACAGCTACCACACGAGGCTGGAGAGCAGACTACCGGGATCTCCATTGTATATGCGACCCATCTTGACTGTAACATTGTTAAGCAACAAATGTGATCGTACCATGGAGTATTATTCAACCCAAAAGAGAATGAAGTTCTAACAGAGGTGGTAGCATGGGTGACCTCCGAAAATAATCATGCAACATGAACAAAGCCAGACAGAAAAGGACAAATATCATATGATTCCACTTACATGAATATCTACAGTAGGCAGGTTCAGAGACAGAAAGTAGGTTAGAAGTTACTAGGGGCAGGGGGATGGGGAAGTGTTTTTGTCTTTTCACTTAATGGAACAGATTTTCTGCTTAGGATGACCACCAAGTTCTAGAGATGGATAGTGGTGGTGATTACACACATGTAGAGGTAATGGAGGCCACTAATGATGCATTCAGAAGTGGTGAAAACGGTAACATTCATGTTACATATATTTTACCACAATAAAAAAACTCCCAACAAAACAACAGCAGAGGGATTCTAAGCCTGGAAGAGGATTTACTATTACCTGGTTGTCACTCTCCACCTCATCCTCCTCGTTGGTCTCCTCCCCCAAAGCCAAGAGACTGAGAGCATTCTTGTCCTCATGGATGGAGCCCAAGAGACCCTTTGGACAAGCAGAAGTCTTGAGACCCTGTGAAAGCTCCAAAACAGGGAAGGAAAATTGAGGGACTGGCTAGGAAGACCTTCAGAATGCTTCCCTCCCACCCCCCCACTTCTGTTTAGAAGTTTCCCAGATCACCTCCGCCATCACCATAAAGCTGACCCCAGCAACTCTGACTCACACAATTGATCCCTCCCTTCTCCAACGACAACTGTCCTGGCCGTGTAGCCTGGGAGGTTAGCAGTGCAGAGCCCGGGGCATGGATCTAGCCCCACTTCCCAGAGCCCGCATTTACCATCACACAACTGTGACTCCCCTACCGGGTGAACATTGAGGACTGAGCTCAGGCACTCTGTGCTCGTCTCTGGGCTGGTGTTCGGTGCCTGGCACAGGGAGAACACACAGTAACAAAATACACAGAACAGAAGAGAAGGTAGTTACCAGCGGAGGTTCTCTGAGCTGACCAGACTCCACGGAGCTCCCCGGGCTCACGTTCTGAGGCCCACGAAGAGAAGCAGGAGGGCCATCCACCAGGCCTCGCAAGGGAGCCAGGCCCCCGAGAGGAAGGTGGACTGGAGCTAAGGAGGCGCCCAGGACCTGGGCCACAGAAAACATCTGATTAGGAACCACATGGCTCTGGCAATGTTGGAGACAGATACAAAAATAAAACATCTAAATCCTGCCTGCTCAGATTTAAACCACCTCCGTTCAGAGGCTCTAATGAAACACAACATCCAGAAATTACCATTGTGCCAACTGTGTGAGAAATCACAGGCTGGTTTCCTGATCCTCATAACTCTGCTGCTTGCACACAGTGAGCAGTTCTCTCACATCTGGCAGATGCGGCCTCGAGTCCTGCTCTCCTTTCAGAAGCGCAAAGGCAGCGTGGGGGAGGAGAGAGCAGAGACAAAGCCTCATCTACCAGAAGGAGAAGTCTCAACAGATAAATTTTAAAACTGATGAATCAAGAAAAAAGCAACCTAAGCATGCTATTTACAAATATGGAAGCACCGGAAGAGAGTGGGTGCTCCAGGGAGGGGTGCCCACCCAGGAACTGGAGTGCTTCATCGTGTGCCTTTTGGTACTGACTTTGCTCAGCTGTGGACATGAGCTACTGATTAAATTAGCGTTAGCTCTGAAAACACTATGTGAGCAACAAAAGAACCCTCTTCCCCTTTCCACTGATGAGAAAGATGACTGGAAGGAAACCTGACCAAGGAAGGAAGCTGACCAACCAGGTCAGATCTTTTCCCATTCTAAGGACAGCCAAAAAAAGTCTTCATGCCAGTGAGGCCTGAGGACAGAACCTGAGCTAGGAGTCAACGTGTGAGGCTCAGGGCTACTCACAGACTCCCAGATTCTCAGACAGAGGTGATGCACGTCTTTAACTGAAGGGGACTGGTGGGGAAGGTCAGATGAGATTTTGAATGCTGGGGGCAATATAAGAATGGTCAGGGCCACACAGCCTGAGGACTTTGCACTACAAGAGTCTGGGCTTGTCAGAACCAGAGCAAGGCCAGCCGTCTGGAGACAACTTGCAAAGAGCTCTTTCATTTCTCAAACATAACCCGTCTAAAACACAGTAAGTCCGTTTTTCTCTAACCCCACAGGCACTGAAGAGAGTAAGAGACCCTGGAGGAGGCCAGCTGAAGGAGTTGAGGCAGCCCATCTTCTTCCCCAGAGCCTTGGCCTAAGGGTCAGGCCATTGGGAGCTGAGTCCTGAACAGGGCTGGTTTCTGCCATGGGGGAAGCATCAAAAGGGCATGAGATCTGTTCCTGAGCCTTGTAGACTCTCATCATCTGGCCTTTACTTTATTAGGGAGATTATCTTCACCAGGGAGAAAGGGGCTGAGGACAATAAAAATAATAGGGGCACAACTCTCCTTGGGTCTATACTCCCCAGCCTGAGAAACCAAACCATGATTTACTGTTCATCAAGAGTTTTCAGATAAAGGCAGTAATAAACTTCTTGACTAAGTTAACCAAGTAGACATACTAGAAATAAAATGGACCCACACCACCCAAGCACCAGGCAACGGAGTCAGTTGACGGCCATGTCTCCAAATTACCTGAGGTTCACTGTCCACACGTGAGTGGAGCCTGGTGAGGTCAGGACCCGTGCCCACGGCCACAGGCCAGCAGGGGCAGCTGGGGCAGCTGTGGGACTGAAGCCCAGGGCTATCGCTGGGCCAGTGTCTCACATGAGGTTTTCTGCCTCCTGGCTGTGGCAGAAAGAGCCTAGGGAAGCTTCTCTGAGGTGAACTGTGCGCAAACCAGACCTGTTCCTCCTGGCTTCAGCCCCTCCAATCAGCCCCAGTGTAGCCGCAAGCAAAATTCTTTCCACACTATACTTATGGAAAATTACAGGCTCCTAACATGGCTAATTTGCTAACGTGCTGGGGGCCTGAGGGAGGGAGCCAGGCATGCTGAGGGCTTTGTTCTCCCAGGCCTTTACCAAATCAGTGGTTAGCGGGGAAATTATACATTCCTGGCTCCTAGCTGATCATCTTCTATAGATGGCCATTAACTCCAACTATGGGCTGTGTGTGGCGTTGTCCTTCAGAGCGGATAAACTTGCCGCCATTGGGCTAATTAAAACTTTCAAGATAATCTGCAGCTTATCCGATATTTATAGTGCCACAGTGGTTATTAGAGCTAACGGAGAAGCAGTGCACGCCAGCAATTAGGAAGCAGAGGTAACAACTGGGTAAAGCCACAGCTGGGCCACAGCAGCAGCAAAGCTGAGGAAGTCAGATTGACCCCATGGGCTCTGCTCCAACACTACTCCTGAGTGGACACTATGGTGTGACTCTTTAAAGGGACAAAGGGCCAGAGAGACAGGGCAAATTCCAGGGGCAGAGGAGGCGAATGTACAAACAGGGTGGGCACCGGCCTGACAGGAGTAGACGCCGTTCACTGAACAGCAGAGAGGCTCTGGGCTTCAGCCCCTCGGGACAGGATCAAGCCACTAGTTCTATGTTACTCCAAAAAGGAACTAAGTTAACCTTGGGGGCTGGGGCGTCTCTCTACAATCAGCTGACGGGAAAGGCTTCCCAAATCCCGGGAAGGTACCGTGTCCCACACGAGCGCCCAGATGAGCGTCGCCTGACTCACTCTCAGAAACTATCATCTTCAAATCGTGCAAACACCCCCGAACCCCTACTCACTGTTAGGTTGGAGAAGGGGGGCTCCAGATACCCTCAATCTTACGGGTGATGATGAAGAAGATACATAAAATACATGTCACTCCACAAGGTGGCCATCCTGGGTAGTTAACGATTGAGATTCACCAAGCAACAGCAAGTTACAGGAAAGTAGGCCTGATGGCTGCGTGACCAACTCACCTGCCCCCTGCCCTGCCAAGTTCCTAGAGGCCTGTCGGCCATGCTGTCTAAGAAGCCTACCTGGTTGAGAAGCTGCATCCTGCCTGGCTCAGCAGCAAGCTCTCTGCTGGAACTCAGCTCGACTAGCCCCTGCCTGAGGGGGCTGCTGCTTGGCTGGCCACCGGTTTGCTGAGAAGCCTCCTCCTCAGCGGGGGCAGAGGCCATCTCCTGAGGATGCTCCAGCAGCTCCGGCCCCCACGTCAGAAAGCTCGAATCCCTCTCCACGGCTCTGATGGGCTCGGGCTCACCCTCACTAGACATCCTGGAAGGCTCGGCTGCCATGCAGCAGACCATGCTGGCGATGTCTTTGCACGGTATTTCCTGCATGCTCTCAGGCAGCCCTAGGTCCTCCAGCCGCCTGGAGATATTGACCATCTGCAGGATGTGCTGGTAGAACCTCTGATCCTCAGAGTAGTCTTCACTGTCTGTCTGCTCCTCAGCAGAGCTCTGAATGTGGGAAAGCTGGGAAACTAGGAAGGGGAGGCGGTGTTGCTCTCTGGGGCCCAGGCCCAAAGGCCCCAGTGCCTGCTCAGACCCCCGAGAGGTCTGAAGGTCCCAGGGGAAGTTGTTCATCTCCCCCAGGATCTGAGAGCCAAGGTGGGAAGCCATGTTGCTACTGCTGCTCTCCAAGTCTGGCCCACACATGCTGTGCTTCCTGTCTTCTGCAGGGGGCTCTGGAGACCCTGGAGGTTGTCTCTTCTCACTAGGAGATGTCCTAGGGGTACTCCCTGAAGGGGAGTTCTGAGCTGGTTCTGAAGCCAAGGTATCAGGGGGCATGAGAAAGAGTTCCTGAAGTGTGTCACTAGGTGAGGCCCCTGGAGCCTCAGGGTCACAAGGCTCTGGTTCTTTGCAGCTCCCGAGCGTGTCCTTGTTGACAAGTTTAGAGACCTGTCCTATCCATAATACTGGGGGTTCTCGTCTCCTCCTTGTCCTGCCCACACTCCCACCTTCCCCAGGAACACCCTGGCAGCTCGGGTCTTCGGCTGGGCTGCCAGCTACCAAGAACAGGTTGCTCGTCCTGGTAGGCTGCAGGTGGTCAGAGGAACAAGGAGATAGGGAGCGCTGCTCCTCCTCTGGGGATGGCAGGGGCACGGGGCTCTGGCCCTTGTCTCCCCCTGGGCCAGTGGAACTCAGCTTGGCCATGCTCTGGCTGTGTTGCGCCCCTTTCAGCTGTAGGCCCTTGCTGGTTTCAGAAAGCCTTGAGTGGACTGAGGCCTCACTCCTGCCTTCTAATACATCCTGCCCATTCTGGAAGGGCTCAGTGGTCTCAGAGCCCAGAGCACCAGGTTTCTGCTGTCTTGTCCTCATGTCCAGCTCTTCTATTTCAGGGTCTGAAAACCCCAGGTAGATTTTCTCTGTTAGCTTCTGGGGTTTCTCCAGACCCTGCTGATCACTTAATTCTGTCATGCACTGGACTGGGGCCCTGCCTAAAATTTTCTCCACGTCGGCAAAGATCTGGTGGTTTCGGGGAGCTTGGCCTTTGGAGAGGGGCTGCAGCTTGCCGGGCAGGGTGCCCGCGAGGGGCCAGGGAATGTCTCCCAACATGCATGGGCTCTTCCCTTTCTTAAACGAGCCCTCACTTCTAGCCTGCAGCTCTTGGTCTAGATCCAGGTCAGCAAGCCCAGGTGCTGAGAGAGGGGACGGGCCACGGAGAAAGGAGGAGGCAGGCAGAAGTCCCTGCTCGGGCTGTGTATCCTAGATGGACAAACATGCAGAGAAAACTAAGGCAAGGCATTTCTGGCTTATATTTGCAACCTCAGCCCCTGGCAAGCCCTTAGCAGAAACCTACCCACCATTTAAAGTAAAACGCAAACCAAAGAGGGAAGAAAAGCTAAAACCCCCATGGATTGAAAATACATTGTTTTCTGGGGCCTAGTTTTCTTGTTTGTAGAGAGAAAGCTGGTAGAACAGCTGGTAGTCAATGGCTTACAAATCTGACTCTGTGGAACCTGGACTTTGGTCCTCAGGGTCCCTTAGGCTGGCGGGGAGTGCTTTTATACGCATGTGAAGCAGGGAGAAGGGGTGTCTCAAAGATCCACACCCCCAAAGGTTCATCCATAACAGCTCAACTTTCTGTGCTGGAAGTCTAGGGAGGAACTGATTTGAAGATAGTGTGTCACAACGAACAAGCCTAAAAAATCACCAACCAGATTAGCCCTCAGTACCTACCAGTGGACTTTCAGTTCTATGACTGATTAATTTTATAGTTGACCAACCTTACCAAGAACTACCACAATTTGTTTAAAAAGGAAGAACAGGGGAAACAAACCAGGGAGCTGATCCTTAAAAATGCATCTAGGTCTTCTAGTAAAAGCATGAGCTACTCCAACCCAAGAGAGGTCAGTTCAGCCATAAAATCTTGAGCTTAGAAAGATCCATAAAAGATGAACCATACTCTGCAAACATGCACCAAACACCACCTGGCCCCTGAATACAGCCTCCAAAAAGCCAAACACCTGAGTCCAGGTTGCTCACAGGCTCAGGCCTGCCCACAGGACAAACTCAGATCGGAGGGGTCTGTCCTGAGTCCTCAGATCCAGACTGGCAGCCCAGGGGACCAGCTATCTTCAGCTCCTGAAAGCAGACAGAATTCTTCTTCACAGGGAGCTGCGAGAACTCAAGTCTGCCGCCCCAGCCTCTGCCCCAGAACCCTGACTTCATTTCCTCCCTCCCCTTCAGCTATGCCACAGTCTATCCAGAGTCTGCTTATCACTTAAAATAGTCACAGGTTACCCATCTTTAGCTTTTCAAAGAGATATCTGAAAATTCAACCTATCTGGAGATTGCCAACCCTCTTTTCTCTACCTGGAAGAATGGTTTGTTAGCTCTTTTCTCAGAACCAAGAGTAGGAATACATGGAGGAGAGGAAGGAGTGTCTGCAGAGCTCACCAAAAATCACCTCATCAGTAACCATTCAGTGCCAGAACACCTAGAGGAGGGGGAGTAGTGGGGGAGAGGAGCGGGAGGGAAGAAGGCGGAAGAAATCACTGCTGAAAAGTAAGCGCCAGCTCTGGTGGGGAATAAAGACTATAAGCAAAAAAGCAAACCAACTGGACAATTAAGAGAGTTGTGAAAATATTCTCAGTGTTCCCACCTGATTCCCCAAGTGAGCTCACATCTGCCACCAACCCTATGCAAGCCCCACACACCCCATGAGGGAGGGAGGAGGGCAACCCAGCCCCCTTCAGGATGGCGTCCAGCCTTAGCTTCTCCACCTACAAAATGAGGGCAACAGTTCTGCTTCCTAAGTTCAGACATCTCGAGGTAAAGAGTAAACAATAACTGGAAAGAGCACTGTCAGCTCTGAGACCAAGGTGATCCCACTGCAATCAAATTCAGCGATTCCCTAGCCAAGGACAAGCGCATCAGGATAACTGACAGGATAAAGCCCAAAGCTGTTCCTTTGGGTCTGGCAGTACTGGTGTCCTGGCTTTCGGGACTGGCACCGCTGAATCTCATAAAGAACCCAGACTCAGAGGACCCGGCTCCGAAAGAGCACGCCCCGCTCATCTAGGCTCACTGGCCCCCTCTCCAGGGGGCAGGGTGTACCGCTTCTTGGACCACCCCAAACACCATCTTCAGCAGAACACCCACCCCTCACTAATCCAGTATTACCTATGTCGTGCTTCCTGAGTGAAGGAAAGGATGTGTTTAGAGACGGTAACAACTTTGAGATGCTGAAATGAAGACCTGCCAGCAGCCTGGCACAATTCAGACACTGTGCTGCCAAGGCTTACTGTGGTCTTTCCAGCCCTACACCAAGAGGTTCCCAAGCCCCTCAGCGTACAGCCCCGCCTACTGGGTGCTGGCAGCCACTGACTCACCAGGGGACTTTTGGAGGTCTCTCTATCCTTCTTGTCTTTTTTCTCCTTTTTCTTTTTCTTGTCTTTCTTCTTAACAGCCCCGGGAGTTGACAGTTTTCCTCGCTCTTGGATCACCAAATTTCGATAGTGCTCATCACAAGGGTGGTCCCACGTGGACTGCCCGTTGGCAAAGTTGAAATAGTAAATGTCACCTGTGATGTCCTGGCTGGGGATGAGCAGAGATCAGAAGTTAGTCCCTGATCAGATAAAGAGGAGGGGGAGGAAGTAAAAGAAAAACAAGAGAAAGCAGAGGAGATGGAAGGAGGGCGAAGGGATGAGAGACAGGCAGGACAGAAGGGCAGAGGAGAGGAAAGGGGATGAACCAGGACAGAAGGGGACCACTGGGCTAAAGTAAGGCATTAACTTGGATACAAGAACAATGGGGTGGGACATGGAAGAGCTAGACGGTGGTATATCAGCATTGGGGTTCCTGAACTCATGCTAGGCTAGAATAGAAATAAACTTCATTTTATCTAGGTGGATAAATATAAATACTTATCTTGGAGATAACTGCTAGGAAAGATGTTGTTTGACATGTTTATCAATGGTCTGAGGAAGGAAGACACATTTTGAAAGCTCGGTTTTGCAAAAGAATCCAAACTATGGCCCTCGCTGGTAGTGCAACAGGTAAAAGGGCAGCTGCAGCTGCTCTTTGTGAGCTCGATCCCTGCCCCGGAAGTGACCACATGGCGCGGCAGACCTCTCCTGACCCGCCCGCTGCTCCCCTCCGCACTGTACTTTGCCGATCTGCCGTTCTGCTCCCTACTCTGTCTCTGGTGAATCCTCTCACTGCCCCTGCACCTCTGGCCTGTACCCCAGTTCTGTATGCATAAATAAAGAAATCTTTAAAAAAAATCCAAACTCATAAAAGGAAACAGTCCAAGTTAATGGGAATTAACAGTAGAAGAAAATGTAGGTCTATTCTAAGAATCTATTTAAACACAAACAAGTTCAGGATGTCTGTTTGCAACATCTGTCCCCTCACTGATATCACTGATAGCCAGGGCTGACTCACTGATCTAGGCAGGTGTCCCCTTCCTCTCACCACTCCACATGTTCCCCTCCTGAAACTGCACACTCGGCCAAAGAGCTTGGTCTATACATACACCCTGGCACCTATACTTGTATATAGAGGGTATACAAGTAGTTGTGCTCCCCTGCTAGAACCCCAGAAAACTCTCTACATGAACAAATGCAAAATAAACCATTCGTCCATCAGACGTTAACCGGCCCACCCACAAGAGCAATGTACAAGACACAACACACAGGAATAAATCCAAAATCTTTGCAAAGTCTTTATAAAGCATAACTAAAAAGTCAGGAAAAAAGAGAGACAGTCCATGTTTCTGAATAGAAAGACTACAGTATGGGCCCTCCCTGGTGGCACAATGGGTTAAGGCACAACACTAAAAAGCTGTCTGCAGCCACTGCAGTGTGGGTTCAATCCCCAGTGAGGGAGGTTACTCACATGGTGCAGGAAACCTCTCCTGTCTCACCCGCTGCTCCCGTCAGCAGTGTTTCAGTAGACCTGCCTGTTCTGCTTCCCATTCTGCCTCTGGTGAATTCTCTCACCACCACTCCCCACCCCCTCCACCACCACCACCACCACCACCACACACACACCTCTGGCCTGTACCCCAATTCTTGCATACGTAAATAAATCTTTTTAAAAATTGGCATGTAAATAAACATACCAATAATCCTCAACTTAATCTACAAATCCAGTATAATTCCAAGAGAATCTTAATCAGGCTCCTTACAAAATCTAACAAACTCAATCTCAAGTCAAAAATATTTCTCAATACCAGGAAATTTTCAAAGAGGAAATATGCAGTAGACAGGAAAAATACCAAAGGGACATACCAAAGATAAAAGATACAAAAATGGCTAGAAAGCATATGAAAAGATGCTCAATATGAGTAAACCGTGAGGGAACTGTAAATGAAAGCCACAGTGCACACCCCTGGACACCCCTGCACACCCTTACACACAGCAACATGGTTCCTGTCAAAAGAGCAGAAAACAAGTGTTGTGTTGGCAGAGAGGTGGATAATCGAAACCATGTGCACTGCCAATAAGATGTAAAACGGTGTAACCACTGTGAAAAATAGTGTGGCTGTTCCTCAAAAAGTTAAAAATAGAATTCCCATGTGACCCAGCAGATTCTCTCTTGGGTAGAGAACCAAAAGAACTGAAGCATGTATTTGAACGGGTATTGTACAGCCATGTTCACAGCAGCATTATCAGTGACCAAAAGGTGGAAAAACAAAAATGTCCACTGAAGCATGAAAGAAGAAACAAAATGTACTTTATATAAATGCTAGCGTGTTACTCCATCTTAAATGTGAAACTCTGACACATGATACAACACGGGTAAAACTTGCAGGTGCAATGCAAATAAGTCAAACACAAAAAGACAAATGCATGATTCCCCTTATAAGAAGTAGCAAGAATAGGTTAGTTCACAGAGGCAGAAAGCAGCAATGAGTTCCCAAAAGCTGGCGGTGGGGGAGCATGAGGCATTAGTGCTGAGTGGGCCCAGCGTTTCAGTCTGGGAAGATGAAGTTCTAGGTGTGTGGTTGCGATGGTACCACACAACACTGTTAATATACTTAGTGCCACCAAGCGTCTATCTAGAAATGGCCAGAACGCTACATTTCATCTCGCAAATATTTTGTCAGAATAAAAGATACCAAAAAAAACCCTGCAATGTGTTAAAAGAAAGCATAAAGAAAATTAAAAGGAAAGAAGCTAAGAAAAAAACATACTGGTAAGGGCCTCCCTGATGGTACAAGGGGCTCAGCACTATGAAGCTATCCGCAGCAACTGCAACCTGAGTTCAATCCCCGGGCAGGGAGGTGACACACAGGCCTCAGCAGACCTCTCCTGTCTCCCCAGCTACTCCCCTCAGCACGGCAATGTGTTTCAGTAGATCTTCTTGTTCTGCTCCTCACTCTGGCTCTGGTGAATGCTCTCATCACCCCCACACCTCTGGCCTGTACCCCAGCTCTTGTGTGCATATATAAGTCAATCTTAAAAGAAAAAAAAAAAGTAGTCCAAGAGTAACACACAGAAAAAGTGAAGAGTTTCAACTCCTTGACAAAAATAAAAAGAGAAGCAAATTATAACCATCTTGCCTTGAAATGACATTTTGGGGGATAAGTTTATTTTATTGCCAAAAGTATCTCTTTCACTATCAGAGGACTTCTTCCCCGGGGAGCAGTCATCACAGCTTTTCTACTACCCAAGTGCGCACCCAACTCTGCCCTCCTTCACACTGTCCCCTGCATTGAAAATTTTAGTTGAAACCCATATGTACTGTTGGTGAGACTCCTGAACCCTCATGGAAAGTATTTAGTGCTAACAAAATTTAAATTCTTCATATTCTTTAACACATCAAGTCAAACTCTAGAAATTTTTTCTGAAGAAATGCACACAAAACTTCAGGCAACATGCTGGGCTGAAGTGAGGAGTATCTAATCACGCCTCACCCCGTGCCAACACAGACACATACTGGGCTAATATAAAACAGCAATTACAGCTACACAACAAAACAAAAAAATCCTTTTCAACATAGCCTGACAAAAAAAAAATTCCCAGCTTTCAGAAACAGAAAAGAAAACCTGTACCTGAGTACTGGGTACCTGAACTGAGATGCCAAGGCTGGTGTGTGACCTGGATGGATACCCTGGGGTCCTCGATTCATCTTTGAGACAAATCTGCCTTTCAACCCACCACTTTTGTTTCTAATCTATTTACTGAACCCACTACTACTAAGTTCTATTATATTCTCTTCAATATAACTGGCTTTTTTTTTTTTTTTGAAGTGCTTTTCCATCGCTGGATTCTACACCGTTTATCCTTACACCAATTTTAATTGTTTAATTTAATACCAATATAAAGATACAAAATGTGGTCTTAATCCTTTGTAAATTCACATACTAGAAAGGAGCCCCTTGCCAGTCTCTGGGATCTGTAAGGCTGTAACCTGCCAGTTATGGAAGCAGCAAGGAAGAAGGCCACCCAGGCCAGGCCCTAGAACAGCAAAAGCAAATCTCATGAGAGACTGACAGCCCAAGACACAAGCAGATGTGGAAAGATTCCAGAATGTGCTACAGGAAACCCAAATCAGGAAATTAATGTAAAAGTTTAGTCCTAAACCAATGGGAAACCTCACAAAGTCATCACAAAGCCAAACTGGGAACAATTCTGATAGGCAATAACATCTACACAACATAAATTCATATAATTCACAATAAATAATTACAAAACACAGCTCACCATGAAGGAAAATCAACAACATAGTGAAGAGAAAAAATAACACACCAAAATAACTTGGGATAGTAGATCAGAAGAAAACCAAATACAACTAAAATACAAATAAAATTATTGTAGGTAAACACCATAATGAATTAACGGAACTTTAGGAAAAATCTGACACACTGAAGTAAACGCAATAGAACTTATAGGGAAAATAAAAAGGCTAGTAGGCTAAACAGCATGCTGACACAAAAGTAGAAACATAGTGAATTGAAAAATAGTCAACTGAAAATTGATACCCCCCAAAAGAACATGAAAAAGAAAGTAAAACTGAGGAAACCCGTCTTATTAGCAAAACCAAAAATTAGAAGATAAAGGGCATATAACTCTGTAAAAGGGTAGTTCAACAAAACTCTTTATGCTGAACTAAACTATTACTCAAGAATGAGATCAGAAAAAAATCACTAAGGACCCTGGAAGATAAAAACACACTTAGCATGGGCCTTCCCTGATGACACAACAGGTTAAATCACAGCATCATGAAGCGAGCCTAGCCACTTCAGTGCAAGTTCAATCCCCAGCCAGGGAGCTGACCCACATGGCGCAGCAGACCTCTACTGACCCGCCCGCTGCTCCCCTCAGCAGTATACTTCGTTGATCTGCCCATTCAGCTCCCCACTCTGTCTCTGGTGAACCCTCTCACCACCCCTGCACCTCTGGCCTGTACCCCAGTTCTGTATGCATACATAAATAAATCTTAAAAACACACACACATGGCCCTCCCTGGTGGCGCAGCGGGCTAAAGCACCACACTGAGAAGCTAAAGCCATTTCTGCATAAGTTCGATTCCTGCCTGCCCCGGAGGTGACCACATGGCGTGGCAGACCTCTCCTGACCCGCCCGCTG